AGAACCATATGTCGTTTAGCATGTATTGTTAAAAACTATACAATCAGTAACATTAATTTAACTTATGAACTAACACATCAGTTAGGTACTTATATTTGAGATTAACTGACTGTGTAAAACATGTTGTAAATGGTGATTGATCATGTCAATCCCCCTGTTTGGGTCATAAACGATCTAGCTAGATTCTTAGACAGTAAACTTATTAATAGTCTTTCAAGTGCAGAGACAAACAGCTGTTCCATTTCTCCTATACTCCAGGAAAAGATTCCATGACCTAACTTTCCTCGATATTGATACTAATAATTACCATAATCATAATGACGTAGACGTACTAGTTTTTCGGTCGGCTTTTAGATCAAAAACTGATTCTGTTGATTAAATGGATAATAATAAATTAGCTTTCACGCACGACTTTGCCCGTGTATTTCTACCATGGGAGCATTTAATCGGGATATATCACCGAAGTCGGCCCATACCCAGCCTGTATACCAAATTTCTAAAGCTCAGATCCAGTCCAATGGACTAAGCATACCATAAGAGGCATAACTTAATGGCGTAAGCTGTGATGTTATGTGTCAATTTTGAAAATAATGCAAATTTCTTAAACCGACATAGAAAAATTTAATTGCGGTCAGGATAAAGTTCCTTCTTGGTGGTAACCGATATTAAGATATCAGTAATCCCCCAAGATATCCTGAGGGTTTCAGATCAGCTGTGATCTGAAAAAATTTAGTGGATAGTTATCCTTTTGAGGCGATCCTTTCTAAGATGTGTGTGCCTTTGTATGTCACCTTTTTATTCAATACAGACGATTAGAAAATTAGAAACGAGGCAATAAAATACCTCAGAAATATATAACATCTGTTTTTGTTCAGATCAAATACAATTATTATTGAAAAAATTAAAAATAACAGGTTTTCTATTCAATACCTTTCATCAAAACATGTATATGTTTTTAGATATTTGCTATTTTTCTTAGTTTTTCTATTCTGTGATTTTACCACATCATACCAGGTAGTACGACTGCGGTCAACGCAGTCATACTACCTCACATTGGCGTCTGTCACTTCCACCAGGCGATAACAAACACGTCTCAATTAAATAAGCTTCGAATAACGGTCAAGTCAAATTAATGGAAGCGTTTTACCTACCAATAAAACGCATATTAATTTACTTACCTTATTCGAAGCTTATAGTCAAGCTCTGCCTGGTAATGAGACTCAATGAAATAAAAATGGCGAGTCTCTCTTAGCAAGCCTCCCCACCACTGCCAAATGGAAGTGACGTAGTAGAAAGAGATAGACATATAGGAAAAGCGGAAGGAGGGAAGCGGAAGGCCTATCTCAATTAAATAAGCTTCGAATAAGGTAAGTAAATTAATATGCGTTTTATTGGTAGGTAAAACGCTTCCATTATATGTGATGGGATATTTAAATGCTAAAGAAAAAACTATGTAAGAATTACTAAATTCACTGTTTTGTATTAAACTGTACAAAGAGCGCCTCTCGCCATCAAACGTTACAGTTTGGCGAGTTTAGTTTTTAAGGACACAATTTGTAATAAGTTCACTGAATAAATTATTTAAAAAAAAAAAAAAAAATATTTTGTATTTGTTGACGTTTCAAAAGTACCAAACTATGGTTTAATTGAAATAAATGCTTTGACTTTGACTTTGACTTTGATGAGGTCCAAATTGAATGGATGTAGGCAAAAAGTTACAAGCATTTTGATCTTTTGTTAGACGCAGTGTGAAAGTGGAGTGGAATTTCAAATGGACGATTTGATCCCGCCATAATTAATTTTGACGTTTACGGTTTACGATTCCTCGAAGTTCAATGATCCTATATGCGCTAGGGAGGAGAATTACTTATTGGTTTGTTTTCCATAGGGTACCTACTCGATTATAACCTGGGTGTTCTCAAGTTTCGACAGCAACAGTGCAATGATAAATGAAAATAAAAAAAATAGTAGAATGAAACCCATTAAATGTGCCCAAAAATTGTAATGGGAAAATAAAAAAAAATTACGGACGATCTGAGGTCGGGAAAAGAATGGATTAGAAGGGAAATAATCGGTTTATTGTTTAGTAGATTTATTCTTCTTCATACAAACAAACAGACCTGCTGCTAGATTTGCCCCATTTTGGTAGCAAAAAAACGGTAACCCCATTCAATCGATATACAACATTGTCACAACTCTAGTAACCAGAAGTCAAGCTGTACTAAATAAATAAAACCAAATGGTGTAATGCTCAGCATCATTAAATTACATCACGTTCTATACTCCCTGAATAAGCGTTCTTAATGTTGGCTAATGTTATTAATCACCAGAGGGCGCTAATGCACAGGGGCCTAGCTAGCGCCGTATCTGACGTATCAATTATACGGGGTCTCCGGACTACAGGGCCCCCAAAGTGCCTAAGCAAAAATTAATAAAAACTTCCCAATTCTTATAATATTTCAGTAATCAGAAAAGTCAAAATAAACTTTTTTTTCCGCGTAAAGCATGCGTTCAAAGGTTGGCAGAAACTTAAGAAAAATAAAAGTAATTAAGGTTCGCTAATTAGTTCGGAGTTGCCTAAAAAGATTTTTGGTTTTCACACAAATTATAAGTATTTTATGTAAAAAATCTCTTGTGAGTAATGAAATAAATTTGAATGAATAAATTTACCCTTAAAGGGCCCCTAAACAATTTTTTATACGGGGCCCCTCCAAGGCACGCTACGCCACTGCTAATGCACCAGTTTTTCACCAAATCATACTAAAGTAGCGTCCTAATTCGTCCCGAAGTTCTATTTGTAACAGCTACAGCGTAATCACAAGAGGTGTCGAACCATTAGACTTTGGAATAGTACAACTAAAAAAGTATGTTCCAATGGGTCGAAATCTATTAAATATACAATATCTTAAACTACATTAGCGCCATCTGGTAACTTTCACTACAGTTCGTAAGAACATAAACATTTCAATAACAACTTACTCAATAAATAGAAAAATTAACTTAACTTCATAAGAGTAAGAGAAAAATTACGCAATGATGAAGTGCACAGTGCAATTTTAGTAGAACCCACTATTTTCCTTTTTCCACGGTATTATTTTGAGGGAATTAATTTTGTGAAATATTGGCGATGCAAAGATTGTAACTAGCGCCTCTAGTGTCAAAATTATGAAGCTATCTAAGAACGACACAGACAGTTTTCGTATATAATAATTTACATCACATAATAATTTATTTATCAATACATAGTATAAAACAAAGTCGCTTTCGCTGTATGTCCGTATGTATGCTTAGATCTTTAAAACTACGCAACGGATTTTGATGCGGTTTTTTTTAATAGATAGAGTGATTCTTATGGAAGGTTTATATGTATAATACATGCATATTGCACCCGTGCGAAGCCGGGGCGGGTCGCTAGTTAAATATAAATCAGATTTATGTAGTTTCTTGTATAGAGTCTGGCAAACGAAAGTAGAGACTGAAAACGCCCGGCAAATTTAAAAAATATCAGTATAGCAACCCAAAAATTGGAGTAATGAGATGTAAGGAGTAACCTAATTTGATACTTTATAATAATTTGTTTGTTTGTTACTCCAGGCATGACATACTAATTTTTGGGTTGCTATACTGATATTTTTTAAATTTGCCGGGCTTTTTCAGTCTCTACTTTCGTTTGCCAGACTCTATAACATTTTCTTGTTTGTTGGAGCATTTATGGCCAATACAATAATACAAGCATCAATGTTTCTAAAAGAATTTTCAATTGAATGAATACCTGTAAAAGTAAATAAATACATATCACTGCTGAGTAAATCTGAGAGGGTTAATTGCTTTACAGCTGATTTTTCCTCTTTCCATACAGGAAGATTTATTTGATTCATAATTTGGTCTTTTGGAAATAAATGAACTTATTCCCGAATCTCCGTAAGTATAACATTGAGGAAAGCAACAATATTTTATGTTTCTGTTCAAGACATTTATTCAAATAAAAATGGTTGCCTGTAAAGTCGTTTTTACGGGCGAAGATTTTACGTGACAACGTCTTTTTCTCGATAGAATATTTATTGATATGAATATAATTAAATTGCACAATAGGAACAAGGAATTGAATGAACTAGTGCTGCGCGCGCGGCAGACCGATCATAGTTGAGTGGGAGAGAGACGCAAGGCATTCGGCGGGCCTCTCTCTCGTTCGGTGACTCATCGTAACGTTACCGAGCGTTACACTTTTTCATAAGTGACTCCCAGCCGCAACCTAATTTAAGACGTTGTCACGTCAAAATTAAATAAAATTGATAATTTGATACTCACTATTATTAAGTTAAATATATGCAACTTAAAATTAAAATTATTTAAAAGAAACACGAAAACAACTATTTACATAAAGCATCGAAAAATTCGTCCGCATCGACGTCAGTGGGGAAAGTACCCAGAAGGCTGGCAGCATTGCCACGTTGTATGGCAATGCCTACCCTCTGACCTGTCTGTTTCTCCTTCTATTAAAAACAGGTTTCTGTATGCAATCGTGATCCAATTGATTATGTATGTTTAATAAGCTCATTATCCTAAACTCGAAAGCAAAGTGTCGTTCTTAGACAACTTCTAAATTTCGCTGCTAGAGGCGCGCGGATAATCTTTGCATCGCCAATATACTTACTCAAAAGTTACAAATTAAAATCATTGGGCACCGGCACAATGTTAAACTGCACTGAGAGTTTAACACAAAACAGACATGAATATAGTTATATAAGTATATTGGCTAACACGTGTATTAATTTAATTTTAACAATGACGATTAATTACGAACACAAGATATCCACAAACAATATCACTAAAATTTATAAATAAACTGTCTTCCACATTTTGCTATTTATTATTCATCGCTTTGCAACTTGCAACCCAACCTTTAACACAAACTTGCATTCTATAAATACCGTAAAATCGATATCGATTCAACAACTATAGAATTACGGTACAGACAGTACGGCTGCGTCAAGCACTAGTAGGCAAGCCGCCGGCCGCCATCTTAGGTCGACATTGTTGATTTCCTCACCAACGAAATGTGTGTCCATTTCTACAAATAAACTGATTATTATGAGGACTTATTAAGTTTTTTTTGATTCTATAGTGATTACTTTATAATGGAAGAAGAATATAATATTGAAACGCAGGACCCAGTTGCGAACGATGTGGTAAATCGTGGTAATGAAGGAAATGAAAATTTAGTGGACAGTGCTAAAGATTTCGGTGATGTAGTGGCCTACGACGAGAATTACGAGGACGAGGAAGGTGGCAACAGCTTCCGTGGAGGCCGAGGACGCGGCAGCTTCAGGTAACAATATCCATTTTCATAAAAAAAGATGTACTTGAATGTACCTACCATTACGACGTATTTTGTCTAATTTCTTGATAAACTTAATGAAATTAACATTCTAGATAAGAAATTAATGTATAATGAACATTTAAAAATGTTATTTTATTGTTTTGGCGCTTGAAATATGTGTTATTTTACTGTGTTTGATAAAAGACCTTGAATGCGTTGTGGGTGTTGGTTCTAACACTGCTGGCGTAGATTTTTGCTAAAATTAAGTGAAATATCGCCATGTGATGGCGAAATTATTATTGAGACAGTATATTTTAACCTTTACGAACATAATCTTAGAACTTAAATGCCATTCTTCAGTACATCTGCTATGAATAAAAGAAATTTTAGCCTAGGTGTTCATACAATGCAATGCTCATTAACTATTATTGTAAAATCTGTATGCTCGACAACGTAACGCAAATTTTCATCCTATTGGCACCGCTCATGCAAGTTTCCCGCTCATCTGTTGACAAAACTGTGTTTTAAACTTACCGAGTATTTTTGAGATCTGCAACAGAGACTATTAAATTTGACTATAATTAGCTATTAGTTGGTTATTAGATTAAACTGGTAGTATTTAATAATATTACCCATCATTGTATTATTATACTCTAATTACTCTATAATAAGTGGAAAATAGACATGTAAGGGCTACTCCTGTACTGTTCTGTCAGACTTTTACTGACTAAACACCACCCCGTAACAATTCCTGCATAGAGCCGGAGTCCTGGTAACTTATTGTGTTTTATCCGTACTGATGATGACTATATAAAACTAGCAACTCGTTTCAGTTCCATCCGCTGCTAGGCTCTTATTGATTGTAGCGTGATGTTTTATAGCTTATAACCTTCTTCGATGAATGCAGTATCTAACATAAAAAGACATTTTTAAATCGGACAGTAACTCCGTAGATTAGCGTGTTAAAAGAAACAAACTTGAGCCTTATATCAAAGTGATCGAGCCTTGTATAAAATAAAATTCGTCGTGGTGGCCTGGAGGTTTAAGACACCCGTTTCATAAGCTTGAAGGTGCGAGCTCGAAACCTACCAATGGCAAGTACCAACGTGGCTTTTTCCGAGTTATATGTACTTTCTAAGATAATGTAGACACAACTGACTAACGGTGAAGGAAAACATCGTGATGAAACCTGGACTTATAATTTCTAATTATAAATTTGTAATCACCAACCCGCATTGAGTAAGCATGGTGATTAATGCTCAAACCTTCTCCTTGTGAGAAGAGGCTTTGCTCAACAGTGGGCACTTAATAATGATGATGATGATGAAGATAAAATCCATAGTTACAGCATATCAAGTATGTAATTGTTATACAAAATTCCTGTTCCATACTTTAAAAGCAAAAAGGATGCATTCTGGGATGTAATACGATGATGGTTTTGAATTGTTCCCTAATAGTTTATCAAGTATAATGTCCAGTATATTTTATGGGTCTATTACACACATAACATCACGCCATTTATCCCTAAAGGGATATGCAAAGGTGCACATTACTTAATGCCACTGTTCAATGTAACACCCACTTTGCACTATTTATGTTATGAGCCATGTAATAGGGGGTGAGAATATTGCCATATACCGGGCACATTTGGGACTCGCATTTGCGACCACTTGGCCAACAAGCACTATTACATGGTATTATTAAACATAATTAACATTAATATAAGAAATAGAAACCATTTATGACGCCACTACACACATATGCACAAGGTCACTGGTACAAAAATAAGTCCTTGGTGTGTTGCAGCGCAAAAGGCCAGAGCTCAGCTTAGTACTGTGGTCTGGGCACGAAGGCTAGAGTCCACAGCGCTGATTTTAAATTTTTCAGTATCAGCCAGTATACATATATACCTAATATGTGCACTTATGCTTTCTATGACACTAGCTGTTGCCTGTGACGTGGTCCACTGAATGAATTGTCGAACATAACATATTTTTTCAATTTTCCAAAATAAAAGTAGCGTATGTTACTGCTTAGTACATCAGCTACCTGCCAACAAAAGTCTTGCATAATCGGTAGAGCCATTCCAGAGATTAGCAAGTATAAACAAACAGACAGACAGACAAAAATTGTAATAAATGTTATTTTAGTATGTGCATCATAATTATATTCTAATACAGGAAGTAAAATGCGGTTTATTTAATATTATAAACAGACACTCCAATTTTATTTATCTGTGTCTAGATTATATCCTACTATTAACTAGTATTATTTTGCTTCTGAGCTATTTTTGACCTATCCTACTATGTCATTCTCGCGAAGAACCTAACGGGTAACCGAGGCTCCGGCTCGACGTGCAGGAGAAGGAACGGGGTGGTTTTTAGTCAGTAAGAGATTTTCCCCCCTTAAAAAAATATGTCATGAATAAGACAAGATAATATATTATAATCATATCAGATTATACTTTACCGAAACATCGTTTTACATGTAACCATTAGACATTTTTAACCAACTGCCCAAAAAGGAGGAGGTTATCAATTCACCTGTATGTTTTTTTTAAACACAGTGTTTTTTTTTCAAACTCAAACTCTTTATTACATACAGGTCTTAAATGAAATAACAGGCACAGCTTAACGGCCTTCTTCATGCGTTGCAAAATTTAGGGCTGTCACTAGCTTATCATAAATTACATTTGCTTAACATTTATTTTTTTAACATATTTATTGATTATTTTATATTATATTATTGATATTAAGTGTATGTAAAAGCGAAATTTTAAGTATTTTTCTGTTAACAACTGGCTTCTGGCTCTTGTAAAAATACACCAGTATTTATATCTACTTAATATATTTTATCTTATAATTAATATTTCAGTTATAATCATTTGTACATAAGTATATTACGATATTAGGAAATTTTTAATTAGTGACTTTACCCCACGAGTGCACATTGCGGCACTTAATGCCATTCTACAATATTAACATCCACTTTTCACTATTTATGTTATGAGTCCCATTTAATAGGGGGCGCGTCTAATCTAATATAAAAAATTCTCGTGTCACAGTTTTCGTTGCCATACTCCTCCGAAACGGCTTGACCGATTTTGATAAAAAAATTTGTGCTTATCCGGTATCTATGAGAATTGGCCAACATCTATTTTTCATTCCCCTTAATGTTAGGGGTAGACCTCCCCTAAATTTTTTTATATGGCAAAACAATTTTTGCCTGGTCAGCTAGTGTCTTATACCGGGCACAATACCATACTCAGTTTTATTACCGAAAAAATTAAATAATACCTGATTTAGTAACCCACCCCTTGCTTACCAGTCACACTTGCAACCATTCAACTGTTCATGCAGATGCATGCAGCAAGTTTTTGAGACAGAATTAAACCCAGAACACAATTAAATGAAATTGTTGTCACTCTACTGTTACTACTGCCTGTACTACTGTCTCATTGTCCGAGTGGTCGCAAGTGCGACTGCCGGGCAAGGGGTCTCGGGTTTGATTCCCGGGTCGGGCAAAGTATTACTGGGTTTTTCAAAAAAAAAAAAAATATTAGCACGGAGTCTGGAATTGTGCCCGGTATATGGCAATAGGCTCACCCCCTATTACATGGGACTCGTAACATAAATAGTGAAAAGTGGGTGTTACATTGTACAGTGGCATTATGTTCACCTACATAAGGTGGATTTAATAAAACACATTGTGCATAAAGTGTAAATAAATAGAATATTAAAACAGTTTAAAATTACAAAATCATATTTTATGGCCATTTTTATCGACTTCAAAAAAAGGAGGAGGTACTATGTTCGGCTGATTGTTTTTTTTTGTTCGTAGCAGTGCAGTGGACTGTTATAAGAAATCAGTTGCGGTAAATACTGCTGCAGTTTAAATATTATATAATATACGGTTAGGGTCTTAATTATTCAAGTGAAACAAGTGAATTTATTTCTGCATATAGGCTACAAGGCAGCACTTTTACACGTCAAATTTTATCAAGCGAATGATGAGGCCGACATTTCCTAACTGACTACTCTGAGAAGAAATGCCGAAACAAACTCAGAGGTCTGTCTCTTTTAAAGTTCAGACAATATGTATAATAGTTTATGTGTGAGAATTTCTTTGCTCAGATCAAGTTTAGAACTGCATAGTATGAGCAATCGTTTCGATAATGAAGTCATTGAACTTCTCAATGACTTCACTTTTAATTACAACTCTACAATTACTTAATTGTAGAGTTGTAATTAAAAGTGAAGTTTTAATTATCAATCAATTTAGAAACTTGCAAGTGCGAATGCCGAGTGGTCGCAAGTGCGACTGCCGCGCAAAGGGTCTCGGATTGGATGTCCGGGTCGGGCGAAGTATTACTGGGTCAATCTCTCCCCCCCCCCCCCAAAAGGCTGGTAACGCACTTGTAACGCCTCTAGTGTTCCAGGTGTCTTATTACTGGCTTATCCATTAAGAATATAGAATAAGAATTATACCATAAAGAAAACTATAGTAAAGATATTAATTGTCACCTTGTCACAAATATGTCCACGTAGCGTCATTTGACGAATGCATGCATCCTTTAGCGATCCTGGCGATTTCAAACTTATAATTGTAAATTATAAGGTCAGGTGCCGTTAGGATGTTTTCCTTCACCGTTTGTCAGTGGTGTCTAGATAATCTTAGAAAATACATGTAGCTCGGAAAAAGTCACATTGGTACTTGCCATTGGTAGGTTTCGAGCTCGCACCTTCATGCATAAGAAGCGGGTGTCTTAAACCTCTGGGCCACCATGACGGATTTTATCTTATGCCTTTGATATAAGGCTCAAGTTTGTTTCTATTAACACGCTAATCTACGGAGTTACTGTCTGATTTGAAAATGTCTTTTTATGTTAGGTGATGGTTGGATTGGTAAAAGGTGGTTGGACAATATCCTTTAACTATAATTAAAAACAAAAAAAGTCTGATAAGGAATTAACAATGATAAAATTATACTTTGGTGATATCAAGATATCGCCAAATAATCCTTATAAATAACCGCACTCGCTCTGAGCGGCTCGTATTGATCGTAGCGCGATATTTATAGCCTATAGCAGTGGTTCTCAAAGTGGTCTAGACTACGGCATATCTAAATCAAATTCCCAAACTCAAAACCCCCGCTTTAAGAAATTACACCGTTGCCAAGATGAAAAATAAAATACAGAATGGTTGGTTAGTGCATCTTTTTACTAAAAATTCGCTTGCGACCCACCAATAGTTTAGGAATCCCTGGCCTATATAGTCTTCCCCGATACATAGACTATCAGAATCAGAATCAGAATATTTTTATTTGTTTGTAAACATAGGTATGTGAGGTGTTACAGGTAGGTAGATTCTCCATGTTTTGCCCAGAGGCGTAAAAATATTATATATAATTAAAATTATTTAACATTGTCATCATTCAAAAATTAATTGACACTTGTAATTGTAAATTAAATTGAATCCGATTAAGTAACATGTCATACAATACTAATGTCAAATAAAATTAGGATCATCAAATAAGTCATAAGTAATGTCAATATTAATAAGACTTAACAAATTGTCTAGAGAGATTAATTTTCGTGTCATATTATTTAGCGTTAAATATAACATTAACAGATATTCATGTTATATTTAACGCTCTAACACAAACAGAAATTTTTAATTCGATCTAGTAGTTTTGGAGATTAGCGCGTTCAAACAAACAAACGCGTTATTTGTACTTCTGTGTTGTAGCCACAAACAATGTAACACGGTTTTATTTTGACAGAAGCAGAGGCCGTGGACCCCCGCCTGGCTGGATGAATGGGCCCCCTATGCGGTTCAGAGGACGTGGGTACGGACCAGGAGGCCCCCCGATGCGTGGACGAGGATTCTTTAGAGGCCGTGGTGGCCCACGTGGTTTTGGGCCCAACAATGGACCTAATTTTGATAATAACTGGGGCCCGATGGGACCCCCACCGCCTGGTATGATGGGTGGGCCCCCACCTGGTATGATGGGTGGACCACCTCCGTTTGGGCCCCCGCCTGGTATGATGCCGCCCGGTGGTCCAATGGGTCCTCCTCCAAATATGATGGGTCAGCCACCACCATTTGGTGGCCCGCCTGGCATGCCACCGCCAAATATGGTAAGAATTTTTATGTACACACACAGCAACGCATTTATTTATTTATTTAAATAGCTTCTGTATACATAGTATTAAAAATAATAAAGGAAACAATAGGTATTGGGCTTATTCAGTCGTCAATTATAGGTTAACCAAGTTTACAATTAAGTGATAAATTAAAAACTACAAACAAACGAGGACTAAAAATTTCAGCATCTAAAAAAAAGAAAAAAAGTCTGTTTCAGTCTGCGCACATTTAACAGTTGGCTTATGCTGGTTTTTATAGTTTAAAGTAAAGCCGAACGAAGTGCTGGTAATTCTTAATTTTCTAATACATTTTGTCAAAGTCAAAGATCTTTATTGTGAGACAGTGGTTACAAAGATTGTTCTAAAGGTGGTTGTGTTCATGCACTGCTCCACCATGTTAGGCATACAATAGTTTGTGACAAACGTATAAATTGCAGTAGCTGTACATTATAATATTAAATGCTGATTGAATAAAGAAACTTGTATTAATTTCATTTTGCATCAAAACATAAAATGGCGTTTCAACTCTTAACGAATCTGTCAGATAAAAATTCATGCAATGTATAATATGGTCTATTTACCAGGAAGTCAAACAATTTTTTCTTAAAATAGTCTACCCTGTCAATTTCCCTCATTTGTCTAGTTTTTGTACTCTAATTATGAAATAATTCTATGTTCAGCAACAGAACCCAGAGCTATGGGTGGAAACCAAGTCAGACGAAGGCAAGCCCTACTACTACCACGCTAGGACTCGGGAGACAACTTGGACCCGCCCACAGGAGGGCCCCAACTGCAAAGTTATATCACAAGCTGAAATGGAGGCCATGGTCTCTTCAGGTGAGGACATTATCAATTATCATGCATTTTATTTCATACTAGCTACTCCCGCGCGGTTTTATCCGTTGCTCGGCTCCTGTTCATCGCAGCGTGATGTTTTATAGCCTGTAGCCTTCCTCAATAAATGGACTATTCAACACAAAAATAGTTACTCAATTCGAAATAGTACTTTCGAAAATGATCTTACCCGTGCCTTTGCCTGCGGAAATTAGCAAAGTGTGGTTTGTATATGGGTTTTTGGATTTACGACGTTACTATAAATAAACATGTTTCATCCCCTATTACATGGGACTCAACATAACTAGTCAATAGTGGTTGTTGCACTGTGTATGTGGACCTCTGCTCCTCAAGTTTGTCCGTCTACGTATTTTACAATATTCAATATTGAGGTTTTCAGTCAGTTGATGACTCATAAACAAGTGGTATTTGATATCTATAAGATGCAATCCCTATTACATGGGACTCAAAATAGAATTGCTGAAAAGCGGGCGTTACTTTATATATGTGGACCACTGTCTACCCCTTCTGGGGTTTATTTCAAGTCGTAAGAGTACGACGAATTGTCTCGACTCGAAAAGAGTTCTTGGGTTTTAATTCGTATTCGTACCCAGTTAAAAGGTCTTATCCATAAAGATTTTGTTGTCTTTTTCAACAAATATGACGTAAAGGAATGTGTCTGCCTACCCCATCGGAAGACGAAAGGCGTGTTATCACATAAATTAATAATACTAAATATATTTTCATGTTTTTGCCAATATAGGTATGGTTTTCCCAACAGGCGGTCCAATGAACATGGCGGGGCCCCAGCAAGTGCCTATGAACGGGCCCATGGGTGGCGGGGGCCCCATGGGCGGGCCGATGGGAATGATGCCTAACGGTGTGATGCCGAATGTGATGCCGCCTGGAGTACACAATGCGCCCCCTCAAGGGAACGTGCCACCATTTATGTCGCAGCCACCCCCGTGGGTCAAAGAAGGAGGTGAGTTATTCTTGTTACTTTTAAATTAAATAATTTTCTTTCTCACGACAGCATATCCATTCCCATCATATAGATGGTTGGCAGGCCACAACTGTGCGCTTCTCTCGTAGCTTTCTGCCTCGCACAGCAAAACTGTGGAATGATCTGTCGTCGGCGGTATTTCCGAACCGATACGACCTACAAACCTACAATAAACGAGCGTATTTATATCATTATATTGCTCTTTTTCAATAGAAGTGTAGGAAAGACAAACAAACACACTTTAAGTCAAAGTCAAAATCATTTATTTCAATTAGACCAGGAAGGCATGTTTGAACGTCAACAAAAAAATTTAAGTGAAGCTATATAAGATTTTAAGATTTTAAGATTTTAAATGTTTTCTTACTAACCCCTATGGATGCTTCACTTGTCCGAAATAAACGTTATTTTATTTTATTTTATTTTTATATGCTCATTCCAAAGTGTAGATTCCTATGTAGAAGAACGAGCAAGAAACTCCATAGGTTACTCTTTTTCAATCAGGTTCACAATTACATCAGGTTCAAATATTGTAATTTGAATTAATAATATTGTATTATTATTTGTGCAGGTGCAAAGGATAAGGAAGAAGAGAGTCCCGCGGAGAATGATGAGCTTCCTCCTGGAGAGAGCGCGCCCATACAACCAACTCCTAATGGTAAGTCATCAACACCAACAGCCCTTGGCATTAGACATACTTATACTTGAAAAACAAAATTGTATACTTGTATTTATTTCTTTGTAGTAGTTGAAATAATGCAAATTTTTATAAAGTAACCAAATACTCGTGGCTTCCCCAATACTTTTTTAGGGAAGAGAGTGTATAGTTCCCTAAGATCGGAAAAAGAGGTTCCTCCGACCAGGCAAGGTGATCGTGCCTGGCGGGCTTTCAGCCCAACAGTTGCTCGTTAATATTTTCTATCCGTGTTAATTCGCCTGTGACACTTCACTTCACATGAGCGATATAGGATTTTCGCCACAATTTTAATCTTTGTATTTTAACTTTCGTGAGACATACTAAATAAATTATTATGTTTTCGGCTTACTCACGTAATAATTTGACGAGGAACTAGAGTAGTTTCAAGCCATGCTAGAGGCTCATATTCATGAGCAGCATTTCGCGACCCGCGACGCGGTGACTGTCGCGCTGCTACTCAAACTAGTCGAGTTCCTCGTCAAATTATTACGTGAGTAAGCCGAAAACATAATAATTAATTTTAATCTTAATCAATATTTATCCTCCACATTTCACTAATATCATAATGCGTACAGCCACAGCCCCCTGCCTCCCACAGCCTCCCCCTGCCTCCCACAGCCTCCCCCTGCCTCCCACAGCCCTCCTCCAAGACATCGCGAGGTTGGAAGCGACCTGCATGTAGCGATTTATCATGCTCATAGTTTTGTCAAGTGTTTAACTTTTATCCTGATATAAAACTGTCATCGATGTTTGAATGACAACACTATTACAAGATTGTATCTTATCGTAAATCCCTTTTCACAGGTAACATGTTTCCGGGTCCCAACAACGGTCCCCCGGGCGCGGGTGGTCCGGGCCCCGGTGTGTCGGGTCCCCCCGGGTACGGTGGGTATCCGGGGGCCGGGTACCCCCCGCCGGGATGGCCCGGCTGGTCCAACTGGCCCCCTCCACTCGTGGGACAACCACCGCCTAATATGAATAATGCTCCGGCTACTGATAATAGTAAGTTTAAAGTTTAATCCCTAAAAGCCACGACATTTATCTTAGAAGGCTGGGGTCTCCGCCTAGGATGGTTCAAGGGCCTGATATAGAAGTCAGTTCTCCTAGAAACGGCACGCATCGTGAGGAGATTTCTGTCTCTTCTGAAACCCTAACCACGAGTAGCTTGGACCATGCTCCCGCTACTGGCCGGCTTATATTTATAATTTTCGTCATCATAGAAGTGCAATTTGTAACTTGATATTACTTTTACAGATACTAACGCCCAACCACTGGCCGGTCGTCCGACCAGTCCATCGTCGGAGCCGACCATCATCTCCGACTCCCCCACTCCACTGCAACAACCACCCAAGAAGGAGGAACTTGTGAGTACTAGCTTCTACCAGCGGTTTCGTCCGTGTCCGCGTCGGATAAATGTTGACTATGTGTGTTTTTCTATATATTAGACTCGCAACCCGTCCCGGCTTGGCACGGGGTAGACAATTATTTATTTTTGGAAATTTGGATTGTTGTAGTGACATAACTACAATAGTTGGACGTATGCTACCGCGGAGTTTTTTGTAGACATTATGATGTTCTTCAATATTGTTGTACATTATTTTGTTCTATCGCTAATAGTTTCGGCAGCGCATTCGACGAAAGACATTTTAAGACTCATTTTTCTACACCTTCGGTTACATTGTTCAAATTTTACGAAGGATCCCTAATTTTTTTCAAAAACTAAATGTAGCCTGTGTCAAATTGGAAGAATGTAGCATTCTATTGATGAAAGAATTTTTTAAATCGGCCCAGTACTTTTTGAGCCTATTCATTACAAACATACAAAAATAGGTACAAATCTTTCCTCTTTATATTATTAGTATAGATGGGACTGACGTTTGACCACTATATCGGCTGATGGTAAACGATGATGCGGCCTACGATGGAGCACGTCGACCCATAAGCAACCTATAAAAAACCCAGTAATACTTTGCCCCACTCGGGAATCGAATCCGAGACTCCTTGCCTTGCAGTCGCACTTGCAATCACTCGGCCAACGAGACAGTCTGTGTAATATATTAGTAAGATAAGACGCTGTATAAAGCTGTATGTGTCCCCCCCAGGTGATAACTCCGGAACTGATAGCGGCGGCGGCAGAGTGGACGACGCACCGCGCCCCGGACGGCCGGCCCTACTACTACAACGCGGGGAAACAGGAGTCTGTCTGGGAGAAACCTAAACCCATGAAGGAACTTGAAGGTAACCACCTCACACGACATTATCAACATCCTACAAGCCCCCACTGCTGTCCAAAGGCCTCTTCTCACACGGAGAACGTTTGAGCATTAATCACCACGCTTGCTCAATGCGGGTTGGCGATTTCAAACTTATAATTAGAAATTATAAGCCCATATTTCCTCACGATGTTTTCCTTCACCGTTTGTCAGTGTTGTCTAAATAATCTTAGAGAGTACATATAACTCGGAAAAAGTCACATTGGTACTTGCTGTTGGTATTTTTTTTTATGGAATGAGCCGGTAAACTAGCTGACGGTGATCCGTCTCAGGCCTCAGGTGATCCTGATGGTAAGCAATCGGCGTGGCCCATGGATATCCGGAACACCAGAGGCGTTACTAGTGTGTTACCGGCCTTTTGGGATTAGGAATATGAGGATTGTTCAGGGATTGTGGAAGGGGGGACGATGTAATTGGGCCTGGGGTACCTCACCCCCACGACTGGGCACGCTGTGGTGGAGTCCCGCCGGAGTCCCGCCGGTGGAGTCAGTCCGGTGGAGGCGGCCCAGCACTGCCGACCATGGCGAGCCCACACTTATGGTTTCGAGCTCGCACCCTCATATATATGAGTACCAGGCATCTTAAACCTCCAGGTCACTGGCTGTATACTCTATACACATACATAAACGAATGAGGATAGTGTATGAAATTTAAAAACCTAATTAGTCCGTCAGTTAGGTAATGAAAAAATATTAGACACGTATTTTTTTATATTGTCGTATAACTTAACAACTTAGATAAAACGAATCAAAGTTTAGGAGTGGAAGCTAGCTACGTCATTTCTACGTATAAAACTTACATAGAAGTGACGTCACGCGCTATTTCAAATCAATATATCGTCGAAAGTATTTGTTTCTGTAAAAAAATAAAAAATACGTGTGTAATGTTTTAAAATAATCTACCAGAAATGAAATAAAAACTATTTATTTTTTACACAGATTTGCGAGCTAAAATAGCGCTGGAGAAGGGCGAGCCGATTGAGAAGAAAAATGATAAGAAAATGGATGTCGATGATAGCAAGATTGAGGGTGAGTTTATATTGTAGTATATTAAGGTGAATGCTCCAGGGTAGCCCGCGAAAGGACAGTGGCCAAAATACACCCAGCTCCGCCACGGCTCAGACCACTTCTGGTTGAAACGTATCACAGCCATGGTCCACTGTTTCAAAGTTCGTCGAATTCTGTCCCAGGGTTCAAACTCGAAAGGAATATTTATTTATTTCATTGATATACCGTAAATAAATCCTGACTTTCGAAAAGTCAACAAATATGCAGGAATAGAAACAGTCTGCAAGAAGAAATGTCTTAAGGGATATGTAGTACCTATGTACCTCATGCTTTTAATGTGTTATCCTCTGTAATATTGTCTGCTGTATAGTGTACATGAAATCCTTACTAATATTATTAATTGGAAAGTGAGTTTGTTTATTTGTTTGTTTGTTCCGCTTTCACGCTATAACTACTAAACCGATAGCTTTGAATTTTTGAAGATGTATAGTTAAAAGTCCGGATTAAATAATAGGGTACTTTTTATCCCGGAAAAATTTGATATTCCCAAGGGAAAACAAAAGTATTGGTATCGATGGCGCTGTGTGTATTGGTATATGTCACATTGGCTTTTTATCCTTTTGTGACGCGAGCGAAGCCGCGGGTATAAGCTAGTAATAAATAATAGTCTGTCAGTCTGTCCGTCTGTGAAGCTAGGCTAGCTAGCTATGTTGTGTATATTAACATGTTTTGTTAGGTCTAGTTGCAATTTTCTTACATGTATGGGCAAGAACATGTTTATATACTGAGAACTACGGGACAGAAACTGACGAACTGTAATTAACACGACTTTCTTTTATATTTAACTAGCGACCCGCCCCGGCTTCGCACGGGTGCAACATGCATGTATTATACATAAAAACCTTCCTTAAGAATCACTCTATCTATTAAAAAAAAAACCGCATCAAAATCCGTTGCGTAGTTTTAAAGATCTAAGCATACATAGGGACAGACAGACGGCGGGTAACGACTTTGTTTTATACTATGTAGTGACTAGTTTTGTCGTCCCTATCCTATCGTATGTATTTTTTTCTAAAGAAATAACCATTTTTTTATAATAGTAATCGACGTCGAAGCTCATGCAGAGGCCCAAGCGGCTGCAGAAGCCGAGCGCGCCGCGGCCGCCGAGCGAGCTCGCCGCGCGGCCGAGCCAGCTCGCCAGGACGAACCTCGCCACGAGGACAAACCGGCGGCAGCCGGCGACAATAAGGATAAGGACAAAGAGAAGGACAAGGATAAAGCCAAGCAGGACCGCAGCCGACCTATATCTAGCACGCCTATATTAGGGACGCCATGGTATGTCATTCATTCTCCAAGTACAAGTGATTCTGTTCGACCACCTAGACCACCTATTTCTTAGGGTATTCAACTTCTAGATACTCTAGCGCCATTTCATCCGTTCTTTTCGGCCCCTATTTGATCGTAGCACGATTTTTATAGTCTATAGCCAGCAACTGTAGCTAAATGCCATTTAGCACTTGTCTACATGTAGAATAGAAAACCAAATTATATGTTACTAGCAGCCCGTCCCGGCTTCGCACGGGGTAGACAATTATTTTTGGAAATTTGGATTGTTGTAGTGACATAATTACAATAGTTGGACATATGCTACCGCGGAGTTTTTGTAGACATTATGATGTTCTTCAATATTGTTGTACATTATTTTGTTCTATCGCTAATAGTTTCGGCAGCGCATTCGACGAAAGACATTTTAAGACTCATTTTTCTACACCTTCGATTACATTGTTCACATTTTACCAAGGATCCCTAATTTTTTTCAAAATGAAATGTAGCCTATGTCAAATTGTAAGAATGTAGCATTCTATTGGAGAAAGAATTGTTTAAATGGGCCCAGTACTTTTTGAGCCTATTCATTACAAACATACAAAAATAGGTACAAATCTTTCCTCTTTATAATTTAGTATAGATTGACGTAAAGGGCATTGACTAAAATTGGTGCCTTTCTTATTTCTGGCGGCAGTCGATGATTTATGGAAAATATTATCTAGAATGTCATTACAAACGAAATTGTCTATGGGCTCATATATGGAAATCTCAGTCTGGACTGAGTTATGAGCGTTAAAAGGAGCTGGAATCAAACATTTTACTTTCGTTTTTTTATTCAAATTATTCATATTTTTGTCACAATTCCTAACTTCAAAATGCGCGCCACTGTACGCCGGGCACGAAACACCAAATCACACCACAATATATCCATATTGCCAGTCGCTAATTTTTATGACCTATTTTCTCTTAGTCGATAACTTGTGGGATGCTTCTAGGAGTTGTGTCATGAAGCTTCATGAGTGACAGCTGTGGTACCAGTGGTGGGTTGAGTAGTTGTAGCCGTCCAAACATCTAATAAAGTATTTTTTTGCCGTTGACTCCTGGTGGGACACTCATCTACTTTATAGTTAGCATAATCTTTTGAAGAAAGCAAACCGTCGACTTTTTAAGTAATACGTCAGATGAGCGCATAATTTTTTCATATAATGTGATCATTCGAAATGCATCACTTTGTGACTGAATGACGATGTATTTGTACAAAATCTTAAGCTAGATGTAGATTAAAGTATTAACTGTAGTTAGATTAGTCACTAATCGGAAGTAGGTAAGTCGGGAGAAGTAGACAGAAAAATGTTTTTTTCGTGTTTTGACGACTGTTACTACTCAATCCGCTACCGACGCCGCAGCTGACAAACATAGCATTTCATGATAGGGCTCAGTAAAGTATTTTGCGGGTTTTTGACTGAGAGGAAATTGATCATGAAAATCTGTCATAGGCCATAAACCGTATGCATATAAATTGAACACGCTAGCCAATCAAACGAAATGTTTTTTTTTTTCTTCAGCAGTGGTCAGTTAATGGTTCACTCTGTTCTGATTCCGTGGCCTAATAACAAAAAAAAAAAATAATAATAAAAGTAAAATAAACGTTCTCAATAATATTTATTATATTCCTTGAAATCGTTTATAAATATTTATTACAAAATATTTCTGACAAGTAAATGAAATATGCGTTGTGTACCGTCACCATCAACAAAATCACAGGAATTATATAGCACTATTTTCACATCTTTGAACTGATTTAACTCGGTTCGGACTGTGTTTATGATATAAGACCCCATACATTTTTTTGTTTGTAATGTTATTCTGCATCAGTTTATCCACATCCGATCAACTGCCGCGAAAAAATGAAAAGGCACCACGCTCCATACAAATTTGGTCATTGTCATTTTAACACTTGTCAGTGTCGTCCCCAAACATTTAGTTTTCTATTCTCTCTGCAGACAAGCGCTAAAGTGGCGTTTGTCTAAAGGGACAGGATTGTCTTCGAGCACCTTTAGTTTCCATGTCTGAACAAGCCAGTGGACTTACTCTTGAATCCAAATCCGATCGATCGACATTGGTATTGTGTCGTACTCTTGAGTTGCAACACTAGCGCCCATTGCATCCGTATTGCGTGGATATTGAATGAACTAAATGGTATTGAGTTTGTCTTTATATACCGTACTCTGAATGTTATTGTAACAGTTACGATTATGGTTGTATAGTGTTGACATTGAAAAATTATTGAGATTTTATAGGATTGAAATTGCATTGAAATTGAGATTGGTTTCAAGAGTAAGTACTCTGGTCTATATGGCACGGACGTGCCTAGTACGGCAGTACTGCGAGTACGTGGTGGTCCGCAGGTGCGTGGTGTGGACGGGCGACGGGTCGGTGTTCTTCTACAACTCGGCGGCGCACTCGTCGGTGTGGGAGCGGCCCGCGCTGCTGCTGGGCCGCGCCGACGTCGACAAGGCCGTCAGCCAGCCGCCGCCCGCGCTGCTGGAGCTGCAGGTACTCTTTGAAATAACTAATAACTCAACAAATACAATTGAACCTTAAAGTCGTCCCGTTCATCTATTACATGTTATGAATTGGCATCCAAATTCTTTATAATTTTATTGTGATTGGCAGACTGACAGACTAAGCACATCAAGCTGCACAATTGACTTTATTGCTTTGTAAATAGTATCGAAAATACATTAACTTGTACACAATCACCTGTTATGAATCCTCAAAATTTGTTTATACAAAAGTAGTCTCTAAACATTGCAAGTAAGGTCTATAATGGATTAGTTGAATGACGGTGGGTGTCTTGATATGCTTGTTTCTGTACTCAAATATTTAAAAAGTATTTCATTTTAACTCCCGTACTCAAAAACATTGAATGATTACTAAAACTCGATTTAAAAGTATCGATTTTGTTTCGAAAACAATGGGGTAGTTACCAGGGAATGAAAATTAAACATCTAACTAGTCCGTCAGTTAGATATTGAAAAAATATTAGACACATATTTATTTATTTTGTCATATAAAGTTATAATACTTACATAAAACGAAATTAAGCTTAGGAGTGGGAGATAGTTACGTCATTCCTACGTATAAAACGTACCTAGAAGTGACGTCACGCGATATTTCAAATCAATATATCGACGAAAGTATTTGTTTCTGTAAGAAAATAAAAAATACGTGTGTAATGATTTAAAATAATCTACCAGACGGACATTGAAATAAAATTTAGGATACTACCCTATTGCTTAAGACTGGGTTAAGTAACTATTAAATGAATTTAAGTACGGTTAGTAATATTGATATTAATTTTGAGGTAGCGAGTACATTAAACGTATTTATAAGGTTTTTTATAACTTATAACAACATACCATAACATCCCGCCTTTCATCTCCGGTGGGTTAGACAGAGGTGCACATTACGGCACTTAATGCCACTGTACAATGTAACACCCACTTTTCACTATTCATGTCCCATGTAATAAGGGGTGAGCTTATTGCCATATACCGGGCATAATTCTAGGCTCCGTGCTATTACTGAGTTTTTTTTAGACCCACTAATAGTTTGCCCGACCCGGGAATCCAACCCAAGACCCCTTGCCCGACCTTCGCACTTGCGACCACTCGGCCAACGAGGCTGTCTACAACTTATAATTATTAACTTTAACGTGTGATATATGGGAATAGGCTCACCCCCTATTACATGGGACTCATAACATAAATAGTGGAAAGTGGGTGTTACATTGTACATGCCCACCTCTGTCTACCCCGTAACAGTACGGTTAATGTTCTTGCTAAACTCCTAAGCTAAGCGAACGCCTTTAAGTTAAATGAGGTATTTTAGCGCCGCTAGAGGCGCTGGTGTCGCTTAAGATCTACTAGACCAATAATTTCTTATTTTATAAAGTCATAATTTTTAACAGCTATTTTATGTCCTGAATTCAACCGAACGTACAATGCTATAAGACTAACACGATCTTAAACGACTCCACCGCCATCTATGATGTGCAAAAATGCAATTGTATAGGCTTTTGTTCCCATAGCGTTGCGAATTTCATTAATTTAGTTACATTGTACTTGTGTCTGCTATGGAGGGTAGAAATGAGAATTAAAGGAATAAATGATGATGACACATCGAAGCGAAGTATTGCTTAGTGAGTACAAGGTTATAAGGTATGGGTATACTAGAAATAAAATATTTGTCCGTCCAAATAAATAAATTATTATATTTTCGCTGTTTGACGAGGAACTCAAGTAGTTCCAAGAGGCTCATATTTCGAGTCGAGGGTCGCGGAATGCTGCTCATGAATTTTGTTTTTTAAACATTGCCTTACACTAGGGTTTTCTCCCGTGTCGTGGGTGCGTTTACAAACATACAATATCATAGACACATGACACTCAGACACGAAACAACAATTTGTGAATCACACAAAGAGATGCTCCGTGCGGGAATCGAACCCGCTACACGTTGTGCGGCAGCCGGTTGCCCTACCACCGCGCTAAACGTGTACTCAATGATCCTCTACTGAAACTAGTCGACTTACTTATTGTTTTCGGCTTACTTACGTATTTATTTGACGGGAATTCGACTAGTTACATGCATATGAGCCTCTAGCAGGGCTTGAAACTAAAAAAAAACACGGGCCTGCGGACGGCGAGCACGGGTGACTCGCCGTCCGACCAGAACCAGGCCCGTGCGTACGGCGCGTCGCGTTCCGCGCGCGCCTCAAGGAGCCATCAGACCACCACAGATGGGGCCTAACAGGGCTGATGCCGATACGGAGCCGCGGAAGACTTAACGGGTTGCCGGGGCTCCGGCTCGAAGTGCAGGAGTAGGAACGGGGTGGTTTTTAGTCAGTAAGAGTCTGACACTCCCTCCCGCCTCACCCGGGCGGGAGAAGTCATTGGATGATTTTCCCCCCTCAAAAAAAAAAGCATGGCTTGAAACTAGTCGAGTTCCTCGTCAAATAATAACTTGGGTAATCCGATAAACATAATTATTAATTTAGTATGTGGCTAGATTCGTGATAATATTTTCTCAGCGGCTTATTTATACCCTTCATAGTATTTCATTCATGTATATCATTATCTATTAAAGGTTTATTAAAAAAAATAGATAAAGATGTCGCTAGCTACTTTCGAGCTGTCATGGGTCTGATTCTCGAGTAGTCCTATTCTGCTAAATATGTCGCGGAGAACCTAACGGGTAACCGGGGCTCCGGCTCGACGTGCAGGAGAAGGAACGGGGTGGTTTTTAGTCAGTAAGAGTCTGACATTCCCTCCCGCCTCACCCAGGCGGGAGCAGTAATTCGATAATTTTCCCTCAAAAAAAAAAATCCTGCTTAATATTCTGACAAAAGTTGTAAAGTATAATTTATCAATTAGGACTACTCAGGGTGGGTCGGAAACTGGACGAAACGAGTCTGTCGTGCTCAGCAGCACCCCGCGACGCCGGTGTCGAATAACCGTGATTCTACACAAGACGTGGCACAAGTACTTCAATATACGTACTTTGTTATGCATGGATAATTGGATATTTTTATAGTAGAGACTTGATTACTCGGACCAATTATTGAATACGGATGATGACAACGTATGAAAATTAAAAATCTAATTAGTCCGGCAGTTAGATAATGAAAAAAATGTTAGACACGTATTTTTTTATTTTGTCGTATAATAAAATGATACTTAAATATAACGAATCATACTTTAGGAGTGGGGGCTAAAACGTCATTTCTACGTATAAAATGTACATAGAAGTGACGTTACGCGATATTTTAAATCAATAGATCGTCGAAAGTATTCGTTTCTATAAAAAAGTAAAAATACGTGTGTAATGATTTTAAATAATGTACCAGACGGACATTAAAATAAAAATTAGTCATCAACCCTATTACTAGCTTTGGTCTGCGGCTTCGTGCGATATGAAGTAGCCTATGTGATATCCCACACCATAATCTACCCCCGTTCCAAATTTCATCACGATCCCTTCAGCCGTTTTGATGTGTTTAACATGTTCACTTTGGAGCAAAGATACTGAGCCATTAACGTTTTTTTTATTCTATAGAAAAAATGTTCCTCTACAACAAAATGCTCTCATTATAAAGGTAAAATGCCTCTGCCTGCCTAACGATACTGGCTATGTACGCGACGGTGGCGACACGTAGCGTTTACAACATTTGCGGAAGCTGTCAAATAATAACGAATGTAAACATTATAATTTTCTTTGCAAATATAAATAAAACCAAAGATTAAAATAGTACTAGCGGACCCAACAGACGTAGTCCTGCATATCCACTTGAATGTATAAACAAAAATTCATTCAAATTAGTTCAGCTGTTTAGGATAAATAACCTAACTATCGACTGCAGCGCCATCTGCCGGGCTGATTTGTGAATCTAAACCATTCCCAGATCCCCTTGAACACACACAAAAAAAATCATCAAAATCGGTCCAGTCGTTTGAGAGAAGTTCAGTGACATACACACTCACAGAAGAATTATATATATAAAGATTGTTGACATTATTTAAGTGCAATTAATTCAATAGTTTTACTGTAAAATGGATATAATAATAAAACCCGGGTTTGCATCATCCGCATTTGTTTCCAATTTCTGCCGTGTTGTGCGCTGCGGTCGTTATCTGTCCGCCACTACTCGCTTTGCACATAGCCAATACGCTCATCATCAATCGTCAACAGCCTGTTCTCGTCCACTGCTGGACTTAGGCCTCTCCAATTGCACGCCACTGACCTCGATCTTCAGCCGCTACCTTGCGGATATCGTCACTCCACCTAGCTGGAGGGCGTCCTACACTACCTTTGCCTAAACGTGGTCTCCACTCAAGAACACGTCTACCCCAAGGGTCATCGGTTCTTCGACTAATATGACCGGCCCACTGCCATTTCAGCTTGCTAGTCTATGTCGGTAACTTTAGTTCTCTGTCGGATCACCTCGTTACGAATCCTATCCTTCAAAGAGACTTCGAGCATAGCCCTGTCCATAACTCGTGGCGTCACCTTGAATTGGTGGACCAGTCGCACTGGCAGTGTCCACGTCTCGGCTCCGTATGTCATTACTGGAAGGACGCACTCGTTGAAGCATTTTGTTTTCAGGCTTTGCGGTAGAGTTGATGAAAAGACCTATTTGCCAATCAATAAAATACTTAAACAGAAAATATTTATTAATAAATGAAAAAGAAAAGAAACTGCCTCGTTGGCCGAGTGGCCGCAAGTGCGACTGCTGACCGAAGGGTCTCGGGTTCGATTCCCGGGACGGACAAAGTACTTTTAGATTTTTTAAAATTTTCAATAGTATCACGAAGTCTGGAATTGTGCCCGGTATATGTCAATAGATTCACCCCCTATTACTTGGGACTCATAACATAGATAGTGGAAAGTCGGTGTTACATTGTATAGGTATTAAGAGCACCTCGGCCTACCCCTTCGGGGATAAAAGAAAAAGCGCTAGCGGCTCCATCTCTTTGCTACCAAGTGTAATTACGAAGATACACGAGACGAGATCACAGTTGGTGGTTTTGTGTTGGATAGTTCATTGATCGAGTAAGGCTATAAAACATTACGCTACGATCAATAGTGTTCGAAAAGCGAGTGAAACCGCACATTAGCTTGTATCTCATAGCTAACGTCCGGGGTGGTCCGAGTAAAACGGTCTCCACTGTATATATGGTATATGAAGTCCTATATTATAGTCATATACATATTAGCAAAATAAGGGACGATTGTGTAAGAGAAAAAGTACCTAAATACCTATATCGAATGGGGGCAGGCAGACACTATGGAACTCCAATTGCAACGATTCTAACACATCTTTCGCTTCATCAACAGTCATCAGTCTTTTCATGCATGCTCGTCGGTTAAGGGTACTTTTAATTTGGCCCTTCTTTTAATATATCTCCAATATAGTCGATATATATCCGTCTATGGCGGTCTCTACTTAAAAAAAGTATAAGTAAAGTAAATAATAATATTTATTATATATATTTTATATATTCATTCTACGAGATTCTCAGATTCTAAACTCCTTCGCCTCCATAACTTATAACTTTTCCATTTTGTGGACGCCATGTTTAAATCCGTAGTCCCGTTAATTTTGACGTTGTATTGTCATTACATCGTTCTCACATATATTTTTGTACAATAGATAAAGGATCAGATAATGTATCAGGGGTAAATTTTTTTTTTGAAATGTATACCGATGGAGTTTCACTGACAGACTATTATGACGTTTCAGAAGTGCCTAATTAAGGGTCGAATGAAATAAATGCTTTGATTTGGACATCCCTTACACAGTTACCCTTAAAAATGTTGTAATATATAGTACCTATGACATGTATTTACACACACAGAATTGTTGTGCGATTTTTTGTTGAGTAACATTTTTTTTTAAATGAGTATACAATCCGTTAGTCCGGATAAGATATATTTATTCAGATGGTTTTTGATTTTAGTATCTATGACGTTTACTATATAATAATTAATTAGACTGGCTCGTTGGCCGAGTGGTCGCAAGTGCGACTGCAGGGCAAGGGGTCTCGGGTTTGATTTCCGGATCAGACAAAGTATTGTTGGGTTTTTTTAAATAATATTCTCAGCAGCAGCATGGAGTCTAGGAGTGTGCCCGGTATATGGCAATAGACTCACCCCTTATTACATGGGACTCATAACATAAATAGTGAAAAGTGGGTGTTACATTATACAGTGACATTATGTGCCATAATGTGCCTCTGCCTATCCCTTCGAGGATAAAAGACTTGATGATAATGTGGTAATCCTAATTTCATCTCGATCCTTCAGTCGTTTTGACGTGACGCATTCATAATAAATATTAAGTAAGAAAATATTTCTACCAATTTTTACCCACTTCAAAAAAGTAGAAGATATTGTTCAAAAGTGCCATTCGGGCCTAATTGAAATAAATGATTTTGACTTTGACTTTGTTTATTACCTTTTTAAATTATAGAATTACTAAAAAATGTTGCTCAATAGAAATAAAAGTAGTTATGCTAGCGATATGCGAATCATCACGGCGGCTTTGCGTGAGTAGGTAGACAGGAATGGCTAATGCAATTTGATTATTAGTATTATTATTTTATGCGACTGTCTAGAATACAGGGTGTTAATGGATCGCTCCCGGTAAACGCTGACAGGTGATAGTAAAAAAGAAGTTGTTTTTTTTTCACGTAATAATCATCATCAACAGCCTATAAATGCCCACTGCTAAACAAAGCCTCTTCTCACACGGAGAAGGTTTGAGCATTAATCACCACGCTTGCTCAATGCGGGATGGCGATTACAAACTTATAATTAGAAATTATAAGTCCAGGTTTCCTCACGATGTTTTTCTTCACCGTTTGTCAGTGGTGTCTAAATAAAAAAAAAAAGAAAGTACATATAACTCGGAAAAAGTCACATTGGTACTTGCCGTTGGTAGGTTTCGAGCCCGCATCCCTATGCATGAGAAGTGGGCGTCTTAAACCTCCGGGCCACCACGACACATGTTATGTTACAAGAGTTGTAATTAACTGCTCAAGGCTGATGTTGCATGAATAACGCGAAAACGATTCAAATCGTGTAGTTGCCAGGGAAAAAAAATTAAAAATGTAATTAGTCCGTCAGTTAGATAATGAAAAAATGTTAGACACGTATTTTTATATTTTCTCGTATAAAGTTGCAGTACTTAAATAAAATAGAGCTAAGTTTAGGAGTGGGAGGTAGTTACGTCACAACGTGCTGTGACGTCACACGAAATTTCAAATCAATAAATCGTCGAAAGCATTTAATTTTTGTGAGAAGAGAAAAAATGCGTGTCTAATGTTTTAAAATAATCTACCAGACGGACATAAAAAAAAAATTAAAAAATTATCCTATTGTATAAACTTTTTTATTGTTAGCGTTTTGGAAGCGTTCCGTTTACATGCTGTATTATATAATTTTATATTGTTTTTAGTTGTTATTTAACGTCTGTGGTGAATGGTTAGTGAATTAATTGCGCAAAAAGTTTCTGAACTTTTTATTTAGTTTTGTCAATGATAGACCGATCATCTTGAATTGTATTCAACTACCTCGTCACAGTGGTTTCTCCCGAGTTTTCAGGATTACAAAGTAGCCTATGTGTTATTCTAAACTGTAATATATTTCTGTACCAAGTTTCAGATCCATAACACACCTCTTTGTCTCCTAAGGGGTAGGCAGCGGTGCACATTACGGCACTTAATGCCACTGTACAATGTAACACCCACTTTTCACTATTTATGTTTAGAGTCCTATGTAATAGTTGGTGAGCCTATTGCCATATACCCATATTAAAAACCCAGTACTTTTTCCGGCCCGGAAATCGAACCCGAGACCCCTTGTCCGGCAGTCGCACTTGCGACCATTCGGCCGACGAGGCAATTTCAGATCCGTTGAGTAGTTTTCGTGTGAAAGAGACAAATATACAGCCTCACGAACTGTCACATTCACAAATATTACAAAACCGAAAGTATGTGAGTGTGTGTGTGTGTGTGTGTGTTTGTTACACGAATACGACGAAACGGCTGAAGGGATCGAAATTACATTTGGAACAGGGATACATTATGATCAGGAATTACACACAGGCTACTCTTCCTCCTACACAAACGCGGGCGAAGTTCAAACCTTTAAGAAAAGAGCGTATTCCTTTTAAAAAGGCCGGCAACGCACCTGTGACTCCTCTGGTGTTGCGGGTGTCTATGGGCGGCGCTGATCACTTACCATCAGGTGATCCGTCTGATCGTTTGCCTTCTATTCCATAAAAAAAGTCACCAACTATAATATTATTACCCGCGGACTATCTTTTCACCACTGGCATTATTTTTTATTACCTAGCTTAAATTAGAGTGTTATATTTAGCTGCTAAGCGCCCTCTATGCAAACTATTGTGTACTATGGTTGTAGTTACAAAGGATGATGGGCAGAATGTACGGTCAAAGGTCAAAAGTCCACTGCCACCGTAAGACTACTATCGGTTGCGCTGCAGCGCTTATACACACACACACACACGCATATTTGTATCCGTGTGCGTACGCGTGCGTGTGTTTATCCGTACGAACGCGTGTTTATGCACATTAATATGAAATTACTTACGCATTGCCGTGTGAACATCACTCACGGTGGCAGTGGACTTTTGACGTATCTACCGACCAATGGCGACCTGACGTAAGTCGTTAGAAAGCTCTTTCCATGACTATCATTTATTATTACGGGGGCTAGTCTCAATTCGTTGTGGGGAACATGTTAGAGTTACTTAAATTACATCTATTAAAGGACATGGAGTATTGTAGGGCTGTATGGATGGGCGGTATGGATAGGTATTGTCGCGGAGAACCTAACGGGTTACCGGGGCTCCGGCTCGAAGCGCAGGAGAAGGAACGGGGTGGTTTTTAGTCAGTAAGAGTCTGACACTCCCTCCCGCCTCACCCAGGCGGGAGCAGTCATTCGATAATATTCCCCCCTTAAAAAATGGATATAGGTTTGCGGGCTTACTCTTGAATCCAATTCCGATCGATCGACATTGATATTGTGAAATTTCGTACTCTTGAGATGCGACACTAGCGCCCATTGTATCCGTATTGCGTGGATATTGAATGGACTAAATGGTATTGAGTTTAGTTTTATATTCCGTACTCTGAATGCTATTTGAACAGCTACGATAGGCGTTGTATAGTTTATTGTATTGAAATTGCATTGAGATAGAGATTGAGATTGGTTTCAAGAGGGTGCTTACACCCTGGTCGTTTTTGGTTGATAGGTACATTTCATATACATGTTTGCTCATCATCCTTTAATTAATAAATACCTTAGTCCTACCTTGTTTGTCAAGCTATGGGCAGTGGCGTAACTACACCGTTCGGAGCCCGTGACAAATTCATTGAAAGGAACCGGGACCTTGTTCCTAATTGAGTAAGGATGAAAAACTTCTGAATGGGCCCCCTGCTTGTGGCATTTTGCAGACTTGGCTCCCTGTAGTTACGCCACTGGCTATGGAGTCTCGATCGATCTCTTATTTAGTGTTTCGCGAAAGCCATAATATATATATATACATTTGATTTGACGTCTATAGCCGACCGTGACTCAAAAAGTTATTTTTAAAGTACATTTTTAATATTAACATATAATAATGTTTTTTCATACGTTTGTTCCAGCGAAAGGACGCGGCGGCGGCTTCGGGTAACAAGGCGGCTAACGGCGAGCTGAAGCGAACTGCTGAGCCCAACACCGAAGAGGCTGATGCTGCCAAGAAGACCAAGGTTGATGATGGTAGGTTGCTGTTTTATTACTTGGTATTTTTCTGCTATCTTAAGTGACTTTTGTTTCTTTGCGAGTAGTCGCCAAGTTAATAACGGAATAGTAATGCCCAGGTTTCTAAATTAAGTAAAATTAGATAAAAATTCATCATTATCATTTAAATGTTTTAAAAGCAGTATATTGTCAAGACCTTTTTAAACGTCGCCCCACACTACGATCCTCTCCAGTGTCGTGTGTCCGTTTACAAACATACAAGTTCACATACACATCACACAGACACGGAACAACAATTTGTGGATCACATAAACAATTAGGTATTCGCCAATTAGTCAAATTCAATACTTTTTTCGAACTGTCAAAAACGACAGTTTTCTATGAATTTTGTATTAGATTGTGAATTGTGACGTTTTTCTAGCATTAAACAGCATACCTATTTATTAAAAATTTACTGGAAAAACACTGAAATTAAGTTGGTCATAAAATCAATTAGTAATCAATAAAAGTGTGAATTTTATTTTAATATTTGATTGTATTGAACAGTCGAAATAATTTATTTTTGATTAAGGCAAGTATCCAATTGTTCTGCGTGACGAGCCCGCTACGCGCGTCAACTGATAGTATGAATAATGAATTGTTTCCATAACAGTTCCGGCCGCGCAGAGCTCCCTGTCGGGCGCGGGCACGATCCTGGTGGGCGCGGCGGCGGCCGTGGAGGCCGAGGTGCGCGCGGCGCGCGAGCGCGGCTCGCTGCCGCACCCGCAGCGCCTGGCCGCCTTCCTGCGCATGCTGCAGGAGAAGGACGTCTCCGCGTTCTCCACCTGGGAGAAGGAGCTGCATAAGATCGTCTTCGATCCAAGATATCTCATGCTGAACTCCAAGGAAAGGCGCCAGGTGAGAAACTAAACGTTTTTTGTTAAATCAGATCAAATATCAAGGCAGGAGAAGGAGGAGAAACTATCAAACAACGGACAATTCAATTTTTGACGTTTCATTCGGGTTCAATCCTGGGCCTAAATGTTTCTTTGTGGGGCGTAAGGGGTTGCCGGGGCCCCAACTCAAAGTGCAGGAGTAAGAACGGAGTGGTGTATAGTCAGTAAAAGTCTGACACTTCCTCTCACAACCTAAGGCGGGAGAAGTGATTTTCCCCCTCAAAAAACAACAAGAGTCTGACACTGTCTCGCCTCATCTAGAGCAAGAAAAACATTAGATAATTTTCAACGTATCACATATCAGCTATGAGACTACGATACAATCATGATAACAGCCAAGTATCCACTGCTGACCAAGGGGCTTACTCTTGAATTCAATTCCGATCGATCGTCATTGGTATTGTAAAATTTCGTACTCTTGAATTGCTACACTAGCGCCCATTGCATCCGTATTGCGTGGATACTTAATAAACTAAATGGTATTGAGTTCGGCTTCACATTCCGTACCCTGAATGCTATTGTAACAGCTACGATAAGGGTTGTATAATTTTGACATTGAATAATTATTGAGATTTTATTGGATTGTAATTGCATTGATATTGAGATTGGTTTCAAGAGTAAGCACCCAAAGCCCTCACACGGAAAAGGTTTGAGCATCAATCACCACGCTGACTCAATGCGGGTTGGCGATTCCAAACTTATAATTAGAAATTATAAGCCCAGGTGTCCTCACGATGTTTTCCTTTACCGTTTGTCAGCGTGTCTAGATAATCTTAGAAAGTACATCTAACTCGGAAAGGGTCACATTGGTACTTGCCATTGGTAGATTTCGAATCCGCATCCCTATGCATGAAAAGCGGACGTCTTAAATCTCTGGGCCACCACGACACTATCACGATAACATTCATTAAAAATGCTAGGAATCCAGGTCCATCTAGGTCTCCTAGTCACTAACTTAATAACTAACAAATACTTGTATTTTACTCAGGTTTTCGACCAGTATGTGCGCGACCGTGCGGAGGAGGAACGCAAGGAGAAGAAGAACAGACTCCAGCAGAAGAAGGTCGCCTTCAGGGCGCTCATGGACGAGGCCAAGCTGCACTCCAAGTATGTATACTTGTCGCGGAGAACTTATCGGGTTACCGGGGCTCCGGCTCGACGTGCAGGAGTAGGAACGGGGTGGTTTTTAGTCAGTAAGAGTCTGACACTCCCTCCCGCCTCAACCAGGCGGGAGCAGTCATTCGATGATTTTCCCCCCTTATAAAAAATAGGATGTATACTTGTACTTCTGCTAACGACTTTGTCCTTGTTCCCGTGGGATATAAATTAGCCTATGTGTTATTCCACATCATAATCTACCCCTGTTCCAAATTTCATCCCGATCTCTTCAGCCGTTTTGACGTGATGGATACAAATATATATTTTTATTTTTATAAAACGTTGCCCTACATTAGGATTTTCGTGGGTGCGTTTACAAACATACAAGTTCACATACACAATGACGCCCAGACCCGGAACAACAATTTGTGGATCACACAAAGTGTTGTTCCGTGCGGGTCGAACCCACGACACGTAGCACGGCAGCCGGTTGCCCAGTCACCGCACTAACCGTATAATATTAGTAGCGTAGTGCATGCCTAATATTAGTAAGATAATATTAATTTTCTTCTCCAGGTCATCGTTCAGTGAGTTTACATCGAAGCACGGTCGGGACGAGCGCTACAAAGGTATAGACAAGGCGCGCGACAGGGAGACGTACTTCAATGAATACCTCGCCGAGCTGAGGAAGAAGGAGAAGGAGGAGAAGGATAAGGCCAGAGAACAGGTCAGTGGGGGGAACCGGGATAGACGGGGGAGTGGGGGAGCTGGGGGGACTGGGTAGTGTTAGTCGATGTGGCGGCAAAGGTCTTGAGATTTTTTGGTAACCCTGCGGGAACCGACAGTTATTCATGTCCCTGGGACGCGCCGGACTTCAGTGTTCCGGTGTTTTCGAGGTTGTATCTACTGCAGATCCTAGTGCACAGGAGTTATAGCGGTTTTGGGAGGTTGTGGCGGGCTTGTACCATTAAAAAAATAAAAACCCTGCGCGAGTTTCTACGTCACCGATTTAGTGCAGTAACATCGGCGCCATTTATAGAAAAACTAGCTTCTGCTAGCGCAGCGTCTTCGTCCGCGTTCTTGTGAGATAAAAAGAGCCTATGTGTTATTATAGACTATAATCTACCCCTGTTTTAAATTTAACGCGACCCCTTCAGCCGTTTTGACGTGTTTGAGTAACATACAGACACACAGACTCTCACATTTATAATATTAGTAAGATTTATTTGTCTTATTAATTCACAAAGGCCTTCGGGGGCTCTTGTGCGAAAATCTACACTATGGAATAAGCGAATAGCTTCACTAGAGGACTGACCGACTGACTGACATTTCATTGTTTCATTTACCGTCTAAAAGTACCTCGTACTGTACTAATTGAATAAATTTTACAATTACTATTGTGTCTGTGCATCACACTCAGGTTGACTGTTAGAGAATGCCACTAGGCATTAAGTCCGCCATTGTATATTGTAATATAACATCACGCTTTTTATCCCCGAAAAGGCAGAGGTGCACATTACGGCACTTAATGCCACTGTACAATGTAACACCCACTTTTCACTATCTATGTTACGAGTACCATGTAATAGGGGGTGAGTCTATTGCCATCTGCCAGGCATAGTTCCAGACTCCGTGCGATTACTGAGAATTTTTCGAAAACCGCTGTAATACTTTGCCCGACCCGGGAATCGAACGAGGCACTTGTATATTGTATAAGTATAAATAATATAATAAATTATAAGATTTTGAGTTTGAAACTTGTTGAAAATATTATAAAATGTATAGTTTATGAGTAGCGAAAGATTTATAGCCTTCCTTGATAAATGGATTATTTAACACAATAATATTATTCAAAATAATAGAGAGGAGTGGAATGAGGGTAGGGAGGGAGGCCCTTGCCCTGCAGTGGGACGATCATGGCTGAAAATGAAAATAAATAAATCAAAATATAATAGAACCAATACCTCAGCGCGTTCAATCAAATTCATCAGCTACATATATTAAAGTACTAGCCACTCTCGCTGTTTCATTCACTACTTGGCTCCTATTGATCGTAGCGTGACGTTTTATATGCCTATAATCTTCCTCGATAAATGGACTATGCAACACTAAAATAATTATTAAAGTGGGACCAGTAGTACCGGAGCCTAGCGCGTTTAAACAAACTGAACTCTTTAGCACGGTAATATTCTTCAGCCGCGCGGTACGTAAACGTGCGTTAGGGCTGCCCGTCTCCAGTATTTTAGTTACATTTTCCTACTTTCTGTTTTTATTTAGTTTTGTCAATTTTTTACAAACAAATAAAATACTTCGTATATGGAATAGGAAGTGTTCAATAAAAATGTGTGTTGCTTTTTGATATGTAGACTTAATTTTAAAAAACATTTGGCGATCGAAAATATTCTCAAAAAAATACAACCAATAAATATGTACTTGAACTTACTTTTAGAGAAAAAATCGCGCGATTAATGTTAAAAAAAGACACAAAGCCCGTTCGTCACTGCGGCACAGTCGCGACTGTTATCATGCCGAATGCATGCCACGATCGAGGTGCGTAGGTATAGCTTTCATTTGGTCCGTTTGTATAAGTTGGAATACTGTATGATAATATTACCGTGTCTTTAGCTTTATATATTGGTACTAGTTGACCCGGGAAACTTGGTACCGCCTAATTTTATTCTCCTTTATTCTTTAATCCTTCCCTGGACTTCACGTACCAAGACCAAAATTAGATCAATCGGTTCAGCCGTATTCGAGTTTTAGCGAGAATAACGAATTGAAATGCATTTTTATTTATAATATAGTTATTAGCGACCCGCTCCAGCTTCGCACGGGTGCAATATGCATATATTATACATATAGAACTTCCTTAAGAATCACTCTATCTATTGAAAAAAACCGCATCAAAATCCGTTGCGTAGTTTTAAAGATCTACGCATACATAGGGACGGACAGACTGCGGAAAGCGACTTTGTTTTATACTATGTAGTGATATTTTGAAGACCTTTGCCCAGCATTGGGGACACGACCAATCAAAAGTATATTTTGGCAAAGCGTGATTTAAATGTTATCAAATATATATTTCTTTATTTGTTAACCGATTTGCAAAAAATAAATATTAGGATTTTGAGAATTTCACAATATGCAAGATGCATTTTGTTAACTTTAATCTCGGATTTCGACATCCGATGAATTTTGCTGCTTGAGATGTTGAGTAGTTTAAAAGTGTTTAAAATGTTTTAAATGAAAGTTTTATCGAACTCGGTTCAGTAGTTTTGGAGTTTGTCTGATTTGGATCGACCACAAACATATTTTGATTGATATTATTTTTGAAAATTTTCATTTTTTTGAAACTGTTCTATTTTACTAGTATTAATAATTTTAACGAATGTTATAGACACATGGATCTGATCGCATTAGTTGGGTTCGATTCCCATTTCGGTAATTTTCATCCTATATAATGTTTAAATGCGAATTAATAATCTTATTTATTTTACAGGTTTTTAGTAATATGGCAGGTTCGAATCCTGCGTGATGTGGTTTGTTTAATATATGTAATGACTCGGGTTCGATCCCCGATATAGTGAGAATATTCTGCTGTGCGAATTTTCATTATTACTATTATATAATCAGTGTTACACGTAGTTTATAAAATTATTGAATTTTAAACAATTTTAATTATTTGTTTGAATTTTAATTGACGTCTATGATATTAGTTTTAAAATGATTTAAAATTTATTTTTGTAGTTTTAAACTGAGCAGAAAAAATATGTGTAGTTGTTAATTAATATTTGCGTTAAACTATGTTCCGACTTTTTTCTGATCAGCGAAGTAAAAATAGCGTTATTTAGAATGAATATATTTGTCCAATTTGTATAACTTTTATATGAAACTAATATCAAAGACGTGTGTATATTTTGATGAATTTGAAATGAAGATTGATTTTTATTTTTAAATGACGATATTCTATTAATGAATGATTATTATGGTGTTGATCTTTCTCTATACAACAATTATTTAATTTTTTCCTAATGACGGTTGTGTTTCCTGACGAAAGCCTTTCGAAAATGGTAATATCTTGTAATTTTAAACTATTTTTAATTATATTTAAAAAGTTTAAAACTTGTTTAAATAATTTATAACAGTGTTCTGATAATAGTTTATGTTAGAAATATTATCAAATGAAAGGCTCTTCACGATAACACGACTGCGACGCCCCCTATAGCTTTGAAAGGCAAATAGTAGCTCCGTTGTTTGTGGGTAGCGGTGCGGCGGGAGCGGAGCGGAGCGAGCGAGCGGAGCGGACGCCGCGCGGCGGCCGCGGTCGTGGCCTATTGACGATTTATTCATCAAAATGAGATGTTATGGATAGAACCGATGATATATTTTGCAATGGCAACGGTTTAAGAAGTTTAGAATTCGAATCTCGTCCAATGATGGTATTCTGGTGGTATGTTGAGATTCTTAATGTAGTTTCAGTTTAAAATTGAGATTTGAAATGGTATTTGTGGCAATTTTAAATACTCTTAAAGTGATTTATTCAAAAGATTTGGTTTCTTAATAAACTCATCAACTTATTTAAATTACAGGATAATAATTAAAGTCACGACTTGGCTCTCTATATCATTAAAAACGGAGCACATGACAATGTGAGCTTTAAAGTATACGAAATAATATAAAATTGTCAATCGGCCACGCCGCGTCGACCGAAAAATTCTAAGGTTAGACATTATTTTAAGCAGATAAATCAATAAATCATGATTATAGTACAATTAACAATAAATAGAACAAAGGATCATGTTTGGAAACACTGCCTACAACGGTGCGAACAGGGGCGATTTAAAAAATAACATAAAATGTTCATATTCACTGACTAAATAATGTCATATTTTAAAAACCTTAAAAATTGTTTTGAAAAAAATTAAATCAACCTGTATATATCACACGCTACAGGACGTTGTTTTATTTTGAAGAGTTAAAAATTGTGCTTTACTATTAATTTTGGTTTGAAATTTTTTGTTTAAATTTTAATTTCAGCCCCTTTTCTCATCGTTGTTTTTATAAGAAAAGATATTTACTTTTATTATTATATAGAGAGAAATATGATTCCCCCACGACATGCTTCGCGGTATAATGCATGCGACGCTAAAGGCAGTGTTGCCACGCTACTGTGGGTCGTAAATAATCTAGATAAGCTGGCAACACCAACGTTTAACGCCTTGCCAGTCTAAAAAAATGGTGATGGGAAGAAAAAAAATTAAATCGTCGATCTATGAATATTGTAAATAAATTGAAAATTAGGAAACTAATTATTTCTTTTTCAGCATTATTTTTACGATTTTTTTGTTTGCACTGTCCTTTAGAAGAATTCATTTTAAAATATCGATTCTGAGAATTTATGAATTTTCTTCTATAATTTTAAACTTCTATCATTCGTTTGTTGAGTTTAAAATTAATTTTAAACTTTTTAAAATTTTGAAATATTGTAAAAACACTTTAGTAATGAATTTTTAAATTAATTGTACTTAAAGGAATTTATTCAATAATATTAGATTTCTATTTTTAATTTTTGAAATTTAACCAGAGTTTTCAATAAATTTTAAATTAACCTCTTTTGTATAGTGGTCGTATTAACAACAACAATTTACTTAGATATATGGGTTCGATTCCCGATGTATAATCAATTAGGTTATCTCGTTGGTTTTGTTTAAATAGTAAAGGTCTTTGGTTCGACTCCTTTTATTTAACTACAGTTGTGTTACATATTCAGAAAAATTTCTGAAAATTTCAATATATATATATATATATATATTGACTGCAATCATAGGGCTTAATGAGTATTTCGATATCGAAATTTAAAGGATTCAGTATGTCAGTATTATTACAATATATATCATATATATCTTTGTATCCTCTAGGGGGTAGACAGAGGTCCACATAATAATATACAATGTAACACCAACTTTAGACCAGTTATGTTATGCGTCCCATGTAATATAACGCCTTTTATCCCCGAAGGGGTAGGCAGAGGTGCACATTACGGCACTTAATGCCACTGTACAATGTAACACCAACTTTTCACTATTTATGTTATGAGTCTCATGTAATAGGGGGTGAGTTCCATGTAATACGTCTCTTTTAACCCAATGGTCCTGAATTTTCTTAAGCAAAACAGTTTTGGATCCGATTCTCGGGACATGACAAAGTGGCAAATTCTTCTTGGATTATCGAAAATGTATCTATAATGATACGCGAGTCTAGAACTGTGCTCGGTATACGGCAATAGACTCGCCCCCTATTACATGAGACCTCTATCTTTAATGTATTTTTCAAAAGTTAAAACCACGAGATAACTATTATAAATATTATACTGTACTGTTCTAGGTTCAATTCCTAGAATAAAACATGTTTTATATTTGAGATTGGTGGACAATGTCATGAAATTATATCAGTGTTTTGACCTAAGTTCGATGCTTGGGTGTGTATTTTGTGTTATTTTTGTTTTTGGCTTTTGTGTTATGATTGTGCGACTGCTGTAAAAGTGACAAGTTTGATTATCAAGTTGATTCATCAGTATTGTAGGAGATTTTTTATTTTATAAGTGACTAGCTTTTACCCGCGGCTTCGCTCGCGTCACAAAAGGATAAAAAGTAGCTTATATGACATATACCAATACACAGCGCCATCTATACCAATAATTCAAAGCGATCGGTTTAGTAGTTACGACGTGAAAGCGGAACAAACAAACAAACTCACTTTCCGATTTATAATATTAGTAAGGATGATAAATATTTCTGTATAAAATAAGTTTTTTTTATATATATCTTTGATATTTTTATAATTTTGGCTAATTTTGTCATTAGTCCATGAAATTAGGGTTTAGCCTAAAACCATATATCGACCGTAATACTGTATGATTGAGAATTTCAATTGCTATACAATTCTGACTTCGATTTATAATTTTAAAATATCGTAACTACTACATAACATAACATCACGCCTTTTATCCCCGATCGGGTAGGCAGAGGTGCACATTATGCCACTGTACAATGTAACACCCACTTTTCACTATTAATGTTATGAGTCCCATGTAATAGGGGGCGAACCTATTGCCATATACCGGACATAATTCCAGACTCCGTGCTACTACTGAGAATATTAAAAAAAAAACCATTAATACTTTGCCCGACCCGGGAGTATTAACCGGGAGTAACTGCAACATTTACAAATAATTCATTTAGAATATATTTATTTATCTCTAAAACGTTTGACTCAACTCGATAATCGAAATTAGGAACTCAGACTCAGCAGTGGCACTTACGACGCACTATACAAAAAGAGGAATTTACCCGACTTGCTATAAAAGAAGTTATGTTTTTTTTTATGTAAAACTGGTTTAATTTCAATATAAGATATTATTATATATATACAATGAATAATAATAGTATAGGATGTATAAAGGATTTTGGTCGACGGAAGTTATATTTTGATAAATTGTTATATTTTTTCTTTATTTGTGTAGCGATAGATGACTTAAGTTCTTAGGGAATGTCGTTTTCCGAATTATATGTACTTACTAAGATTATTTACACACAAACGGTGAAGGAAAACATCGTAAGGAAACCTGGGCTTATAATTTCTAATTATAAGTTTGAAATCGCCAACCCGCATTGAGCAAGCGTGGTGATTAATACTCAAACCTTCTCCGTGTGGAAAGAGGCCTTTGGTCAGCAGTGGAGGCTTATAGGCTGTTGATTTGATTTGATGAGTGTTCTGGGTCTGTGTGTGTTCAGTATGTGATATTTTTAGTTGTGTGTATTGTGTAATTTCATTTAATTTTTGCCAGTTGTATTATTGGTCCAAATCTCCAATATATTAAGTCCGCGTTCTTTATACTATGGTTGTCAATTTCTATACATAACATAACATAAAATCACGCCTTTTTATCCCCGAAGGGGTAGGCAGAGGTGCACATTTCGGCACTTAATGCCACTATACAATGTAACGCCCACTTTTCACTATTTATGTTATGAGTCCCGTGTAATAGGGAGTGAGCCTATGGCCATATACCCGGCACATTTCCAGACGCCGTGCTACTACTGAGACTTTTAAAAACCCAGTAATACTTTGCCCGACTCGGGAATCGAACCCAAGATCCCTTGCCCAGCAGTCGCACTTGCGACCACTCGGCCAACGAGACAGTCAATTTTGATAATATACTTATATCTAGTTAGTTATGTTATTCATTCCAATAATGTAAAATGGGACTTGTAAATGAGAATTATCATTCTTCTTTTGTAAAATGGTACTATTTTTTTTTCTTATTTATTAACAGGGTTTTTTCTCAAAAGAAAAAATGGGGCTTGTAACTGAAAACTTAGCTATTCTAATTTTGTAATGTCGGGCTTGTAATTGAAAATTTCCATTCCAATATTGTAAAATGTGCGTGTACTGAGAATTCTATTTGAATCTTGTAATATGGGGCTTGTATCTGAGACTTTTGAGAATAAGTCTTATTGTAAGTCAGAACAGTAGTCCAAGATATATGTATGTGAGCATGGTATACTTGTTACGTGGGTATAATGATTTGGAAGAAGACGTTAGTGTGCCGATTCGATATCTGTATTTAAAGTCCATCTTCTCTAGTTATATTATTTAAAATATCACATTGCAACATCTCGTCGTGTACCGTAAATAGTACCGAATTGTTGTCTTTGCATCAATTTTGATTATTGAATTCGAATACTCGAAAATTTTTGTCTTTTGTGTTTCATAGAACTTGTATCTGATTTATGAATTGTTGGGTTCAATTCCCGATTATAACAACATTATAACATAATTTTGGAGCGATATGGTGTGCATGAAGGCGTTTATAAAATGTTAACGTATTTTTGAAAATCATAATACTCTTATCATGGAATCAAAGCTCATTATAATCGGTTTAGCCGTTTAAGACTTTGACACATACAGAAATAATAAAATTAGTGTATGTAAGTAATCTACGCTACACACTTATATAAATGTTTAAATAGTTATTAAATTGATTTTAGTACAAGCAAATTTCCGTCAGCCATCATACATGAACAAATTAATAATAATAATCTAATAATACATCTTTTTCAGGACTTAATCAAACATGTCTTTTCACAGGTTTAATTTAATATTAAAATCACGTTTTTCTTTCAATTCATTTCAGCTTCTAATTGCATATTTTTTCAGCGTTATATCGACGGTGCTCTGTGCGTTAGGGTGGTTTCAAGGCGATTCGTTTTCAGGGGATCAGCTCGGCGAATTTCGTATACCTATATGTATATTTTATATGTTATATTGAGCTGTGTTTTTGGCAATTTCTCCCGTACATTTATGATTTTTTTGACACTTAACTATGTAATTTTTTTATTATAAGATAGTATATTTTCTATAGGTTTTTTTCTGCGTGTCAAAATATGTTTTATATAGGAACTTTGCTTCTGTCAATGAAGCTATTTGCTCATTCCAAATATTTCTGCAGCGACACTACTTTATTACTATCATAGTGGTGTAAATACTCAACAATAACATTAGGAATCTCCGTAATTTGGTCGCCCTATCTTTGTTTCTCACAATTTTACTGTTGCAAAGTATTCAAATTAGACAATTAATTTTTAAATGTCAATCTTATTTTCTAATTTTCTGTAGCTCGCGTAGAATATGAATTTTAGGACATAACTGTTTCTTCAGTTTAAATTTTCCAAAATATAAGTAGCCTATTTTACTCGTTTGTACATCAGCTACATACCAGTAAAATTCCCGTCAAAATCCAGCTATTCCTGAGATTAGCCAACAGACAGACAGAACAAAATTGTTTGTTCATACGCATGTAGTAAAAAGCGGTTATTTTAATATTACAAACAGACTCGAATCTATAGTATCCCCCATATAAAAATGAATCCCTATATCCCTGGTCTAGTCGCGGAGAACCTAACGATTAACTGGGGCTCCGGCTCGACGTGCAGGAGAAGGAACGGGTGGTTTTTAGTCTGTAAGAGTCTGACACTCCCTCCCGCCTCACCCAGGCGGGAGCAGTCATTCGATGATTTTCCCCCCTTAAACTGTCAAACACCAAGCGGTCACCGGTGACCGCAACCTATTGTTCTATAATTGTGTCTATAATGACGGTACTCGACGAGTTAAAAAAAAAACAGACCAATTTTATTTATCTGTGTAGACATTACAACATTTTATCTACCAAAGCAATCCTCAAAATTCAAACCTTCGCCAATCACAGCTCGAAATCAAAGTAACTCACTAGAATTTAAAAAAAACAACGACCCCTAAAAGCGATTCGCCGGAACACCCATCTCAAACTATAAGAAACTAATTCGTTCGATAACATGTAATTTTATCTTATTGTAGATGAAAGTCGAGTTCATTGCGCTGCTGAAAGAGAAGGGCGTCGACAGACATTCCCGTTGGATCGACGCCAAGAAGAAGATAGACAGCGACCCTCGATACAAAGCTGTGGAGGGTTCTAATCAGCGGGAGGACTATTTTAAGGAGTATTGCAAGATGGTCAAGGAGGAACGCAAGAAGGAAAAGGATGGGAAGGATAAAAGTGAGTGTCCTCTTTATTTTAATAGTCGTTTAGAGAACAGTGAGTAAAGTTATCTCAGAAAAGGAGGGACCAGGCGAGGTGATCGTGGCTTGCCGGCTTTCTGCCCAACAGTTGAATGTTGGGTTATTTTCTATGTTAATTCATATATGCGATGTAGGATTTGTGATACCTACTCTCGCGTGATTTGACCCGCTCTGCTCAGCGCCTATTAATCGTATCGCAAAGTGTTATAGCCTATAGCCTTTCTCGATAAATGGACTATCCAACACGAGTTTATGAAATCGGACCAGTAGTTCCTGGGATTAGCGCGTTTAACTCGTCGAGTACCGGTTTTGTAGACACAATTATAGAACAATAGGTTGCGGTCACCGGTGACCGCTTGGTGTTTGACAGTTTAAAGAACAAACGATGCGCTTTCAAAGCCACAAACTTACGTATTCATAATATTAAGTAAGATGCGAACGTTTGAATCAAGACAGTTACTCATGTCCCTGGGACGCGCCGGACTTCAGTGTTCCGGTGTTTTCATGGTTGTATCTACTGTAGATCCTGGTGCACAGGAGTTGCAGCGGTTTTGGGAGGTTGTGGCGGGCTTGTCCCAAATACAAAAAAGAAACGAACCTTTGTCTGTCTGTATGTGTGTATGTATGTTATTCATACACGTCAAAACGGATGAAAAGATCGGTATGAAATTCGGAACAGTAGTAAATTGTGTCAAGCTAGATTATAATATTAGTTATATGATTGTCTAATCTATCTTGAATTGTCTAGTATCTTCTTGACGTTATATAATTCCAGTTTAAGAAGGTATAATAAAATCTTTTTTTCAGTCAACAAAACGTTCTATGTTTTTATAATAACTATCGTGAGACATACTACATTAACTAAAATTGGGGTTACTCACGTGAATATACTGAGAAAAGCTCTACTAGTTTCGAACCACAGACGGGTTCTTCCTCATGAGCAGCGTGCGCGGTCGCGCCGCTCACTAGTGTACTCAGTATATTCACGTGAGTAACCCGCGATTTTATTTAAAACGTTCTATCTTCAAAAACCCAATATTCACATACATATGTATAATAAAATTACAGAACGCGAGCGTACAGGCGGCAAGAAGGAGAAGCGGGAGAAGGAACGAGAAAAAGACAAGGAGGAGAAAAAGGAAGTAAAGAAAGAGAAGAAAAAGGAGAAGGGAGACGTAAGTACTATATAGTTGCAGTGTTAACAGTGCTTGCGTGTTAGGTTTAGGACTAGTAACGGTAATTGCTCACTAGATATCCCTATTGTAGAATAAGGTCTTAATGTAGCATTGTCCAATCATTAGCTGTCTAATTGTTTTGATATAATGGGCAGTACAGGGTGTAAACTGAACGCTCCGGGAACTATGACTAAAAGAAATGGTTTCTACAATTTTTGCGTTTTTAGTTTTCGTGTTATTCTTGTAACACATAAAAGAAACATTTCATTCCTTACTTTTATGAAACTATTGCCGGAATACTGAAACGTTACTCAATTTTAAGTCGTGCTCAAATATCGTGCCATCTCTGTCATTTTATAAAGAATTAGTGGTGACAGAACTGTACTTAAGCACGACTTAAAATTGAGTAACGTTTCAGTATTCCGACGTATAACTTGTTTTTCACTATCATCTATCGGCCGGTTTTTGGGAGCGATCCGTTTACACCGTGTACCTAAGTTGTTGTCCATGGGCGGCGCGGATTGCTTACCATCAGGTGGTCCGTCTGCTCGTATACCTGTCTATACTATGAAACAATTTAGTGCACTGTTAAAACTGTAACGATATTTCTAATTATTATTATTATTACATTACATTATAATGCTCACGACGTTGTTATTAATAATTCGGCGCATTTTCAACAAATATAATTATATTATAGGGAGGCATCCACTTTCTTACTTTTGTAGCTATGGGATAATTTACTAGAATAATATAACCAAGGATAAATAGTACTAGCTTCTGCCACCGGCTTCGTCCGACCATATTCCAAACCATAATCTACCCCTATTCGGAGTCGCGGAGAACCTAACGGGTAACCGGGGCTCCGGCTCGACGTGCAGGAGAAGGAACGGGGTGGTTTTTAGTCAGTAAGAGTCTGACACTCCCTCCCTCCTCACCCAGGCGGGAGCAGTCATTCGATGATTTTCCCCCTTTAAAAAAACCCCTGTTCTAAGTTTTAACCCGATCCTTTCAGCCGTTTCGACGTAACTGAGAAACAAACCCTGCATTTATAATATTAGTAGGATTAGTAGGATTAGTAGAATAGTAGGATAGTAGGATTTATCTACGAACTTATTTAACCCAAGTATGCATTAGGGGGGACAAGTGTCGCCAGCGAGGTCGGGTGAAGTAGCGCGACGTTGTCGGACTTTGGTCGACATGTCAGGCAATACCAACGTCGCTGTGGACATAAGGAGCGCGATATCACCTTTTACGTCAGGCTTCGCTCGACTTGTCGTCGATACATGTCTTGGGATATTTAAACATCAATATCACCTTCATGTCTTCATTTGTCCCCTAGTTTATCCTTAGCTTAATTGTTCTTCATTCTGAAAATACGTCTAGTATAAAGTAGAAAGAACTTGAAAAAATGATCAATGATTATTTTTTTATACAACAGAATTTTTGTTGTTCAGTTTTAATACACTTGCAGCAAAGAAAACTGAGCCACTAGCGTTTTTGTTTATCATTTTATCGAACCCTCTATAACTTAAAAAGAATATTCTGTTTACAACAAAATCCTCTCATTGTAAAGGTAACTAAATTGTCTTTTAAATGACAGACAATCAATCAATAAAATACTTGCATCAGAAATTGTTTATCAAGATATGATTGGCGTCCTTCTTTTTGCTCCCAAGCGTACATATTAGTTTAGCAAGCGTCGTGAGCATCATTTCTTAAATATAATTGTTTGCGGTGCGATTATTTATTAATACAAATTAAATAATCATGCGAAACTGCGTCGGACATTCTTAACGGTCTTTTTTTTAATTTTGAAACATTGGCCTTTTAGCCAAATATTTTATACAATACGGTAGTTTCCTAAACTTTAGACACGTATTTTTTCTTTTCTCACAAAATTAAATACTTTCGACGATATATTCATTTGAAATATCGTGTGACGTCACAGCGTGCCACATTTTGTAGCACGTTATGACGTAACGACCTCCCACTCCTAAACTTAGCGCCATTTTATCTGAGTATTGCAACTTAATACGAGAAAATAAACAAATACGTGTCTAATGTTTTTTCATTATCTAACTGACGGACCAATTAGATGTTTAATTTTGATACCCTGGCAACTACCCTATTTAATTTCAAGGAAAAATATATTTTATTGTTATTAAAAAATTTTGTTGTGTATGTGTGTGCGGCATACGTAATTAATGTACTTGATTATTGTCGAATGACATGTTGAACTATTACTATTTGATTACGTGTCTGAGTGTGTCATACACCGTGAAATCTATTGAATTTCGTTTTCGTCTCGCAAAAACACAAAAAACAAAAATTAAAGATCATTTTTTTACTTCAAAAAAAGTCATAGAAATAGGCACATGAAACACTGGATGTAAATTTGTAGGCACTATTCGCATCGCACGTGCAGCCGACGAGAAATACCTCGTCGACAATAACATGCCGTGATGTTTTGATAATGTACTATGAGTTCGTGCGCTCTCGAAGTTTGCTTCTTGCAATGGTTCACCAGTTGTTTTTATTTGTTTTTAAAACTATTGTATTACCGAGACAGAACCATTTTACTTCGGGACGGAAACGAAATAGATTTCACGATGTAAATTAAATGACGGCGCCTTCGTTCCGGGGTATGTACATAGTCTATAAATAATATTGTTATATTTTAATACGAAATACCTTCACGTACTTTTTTCTTTTTCATTTTAAATATTCGTTTAAATAATTTTAAACTCTTTAGTACAATCGGTGTTTTCTTATTTCGATGCTAACTGCACATTTGTCGCAGTGACTGTTTTTCTGTCTGGGTTCGATTCCCGATATACAGAGATATACAGGGTGTGTTTAATTGAGAAAAAAATATTCGATTTATATAGGCTGTCTTTAATTGTGAAAAAATCATTCGAATTGTACAGGGTGTGTGAAAAAAATCTTTCGAATTGTACAGGTTGTGTTTATTTGAGAAAAAGTTTATATTTTTGACAAAACGTTTTTTTTTTTAATAATCTTGGAAGAAAAATATGGAGTTATTTGTGATAATTCGTCGCGTGTCATAATCTGCGGGAGTGGAACAATGCAATAGTGCAGAATTAATGCAAGTTACCTGTTGGTTGCAGAGTGCATAAGTTTATGAGATTGGCGTGGACAAACGGAGCGACGTGCGGTGCTTGGCGGCTATACATCGGACGAGTTAGGAATGCACTGTATTATACATTTATTTGTATAAATCTGATATAATTTTCCTGAGACATAAAAAAATAATTGTTATGTTTTCGTCTTACTGCCGTAACTGTTTGACACGGAGCTCGACTAGTTTCAAACCCTACTAGAGGCTCATATTCATGAGCGCCATTTATTTGTATTTAGAACTTCAAGAAAAGAGCGTATTCCTTTTTAAAAGTCCGGCAACGCATTGTCCATGGGTGGCGCTGATTGCTTACCATCAGGTGATCCATCTGCTGTCCGGTCTTTGTCATATATGTTGTTTGTTTGCCGGGTATACGACACCCGCGGGAAGTGTAGGGTTTGTGAAATTTATTTATATATAAAATACAGTGCATTCCTATATACAAGGGCGTATATTGATCCTAAGGTCACATTTTATTAATTGACTTATAATCTATAATTATAATTAAACCACATATAAAAATCAGTAGCTTAGACTATATATGTCTTTGTTTTACTGAGTTTTTCGAAAATGTGGTTTTTTTCGGTGCATTTTGTGGATGGTTTTCCTTCTGTAATTGGTTTTTGGGATGGTTCTTTTTGTTTGGTTATTTTCCAACTAGGCTTTGTAGTTGGCATCGTCATCATGATTTTTTTAATGTTACCCCACACTAGGCTACACTTTTCTCCTGTGTCGAGGGTGCGTTTACAAAGATACGAGTTCACATACACATGACACAGACACGGAACAACAATGTATGGATCACACAAAGATTTGCTCCGTGCGAGAACCCGCGACACGTTGCGCGGCAGCCGCTTGTCCAGCTACTGCACCAGTCGTGCAGTCAAAACTAAACATCAAGCCTTATATCCCCATAGGGGTAGGCAGACGTGCACATTACGGCATTTTATACCACTGTACAATGTAACACCCACAATATTTATGTTAAGAGTCCTGTGTAATAGGGGGTGAACCTATTGCCTTGTACCAGACTCCGTGCTACTGCTGACAACTTTTTTAACACGTTAAATGCCATGGGGGTCGCCGGTGACCGGCGTTAGCGGAGGATTTACCTTCAACAGTTTTTTATTGGCAGTCAAAGTCTTAAAAACCCGTAGTACAGACCCATTGCCCGGCAGTCGCATTTGCGACAATTCGGCCAACGAGACAGTCACGTGTACCCAAAATATTTTAATGTTGATTTAAATCATTTTGATGACGATGACAATACTTATTCCACTGTTAGACCGCGCTGGAATACTCAAACGCAACTCAATTCTAAAGTCGCGCTTAATTATAGTTCTATCATTGCAAAATGGGTACGTTCCTTAATCAAAAATAAACAATTTCGACTGTTCAATACAATAAAATGTTAAAAAGTAATCACACTTTCATTAATTGATTTTATGACCAACTTCATTTAAGTATTTTTCCAGCCAATTTTTAACAAATAAGTGTGCTGTTTGACGCTAAAAAAACTTACGTCACAATACACAATCTCGTACAAAATTCATCGAAAACTGTCGTTTTTGACAGTTCGAAAAAGTATTGAATTTGACTAGTTTGCAAGTAGCCAATTCTTTGTAAAATGACAGAGGTGGTACGATATTTAAGTACTACTTAAAATATACTAGCCTTTCAGTAGTTGTTGGTGTGCAAAAAATCTTCATCTATAGTTATTTCTCTTTTTGACAGAGACAAAAACTACGTAAACTTATTTTTTAGCAGTTCAAATACTCATAAAATAGTTTCTATACTTCTTTCTGTACTCTTTTTTTATAATATATATAATTATGGCAAAATATAGAAAATTTAAAACAAGTATATAAGATAAATATTACAATTGTTATTTATTTCGTTAAATATATGTAAGGTTGCCGTGCAACATGTATCGGGCTCGGTTCCCGCACGGAGCAACTCTTTGTGTGATCCACAAATTGTTTTGGCTCTGGGTGTCATGTGTATGTGAACTTGTGTTGAAAAAGAGAGGAGAATATGTTTTAGACAAGGAAACATCCCATTTACTTAGCTTTATATTTAAAATGTGACCTTAGGACGCTCTGTAGCTAAACGTATCGACGCCCGCAGTTTATGACACACGGCCTTAGGGACTACACCTACAACTCTGGCTACCCTGCAAGCTTCGTTAAACACTGCCATGTCGTGGGGGTCAGCGAAGACATAAGTCTGCAGCGTCAGAATATGTCTACAGTGTCGAACATGTCTACGGTGCCAGAGATACCGTGGGTATTGCGAGCGCTGTTTGTTTTTATTTTGAAGCAGAGCTGCAGCTTACCCTGTCTGCGAAATTTATTATAATAATAATAATGTATGCACAATACGATGGTTATTATAATATATTTATAATAAAATAAGTTTTTCTTTGTTTTTAAAACATGTTAATCTAAGGCCGTGTCTGTCTATGCCGGATGTCCGATGCAGAGTCGCCATGTTTGATAAATTATGTCCGTAATGTTCTAGTTGGTATTGTTTAATTGCTGAGCGGTTACAGGCAGTTGTAATTTTAGCTCGTTCCTAGTAAGTATGGCGAGCTGTTATTACTAACTGTACCATAAATAAAATTTAAATTGTTCTATCAAATAACTAAACATTATGGATGTAATTGGTATTTCCGCAAACACCTCAATCTCCCCGTTTGTCCCGCAGAAACAGGACACCGAGGAGGAACGCAAACAGCCGACTCCTCCACCAGACCAATGGGCCGAAATACTCGGCATCCCCGGCGAGGACGACGACAAAAAACCAACGAAATCGACCCGAAAAAGTCAAAACGCAGAATCGAAAGACAGAGCAAAGTCTGCGACCACTTCTGAAGAAGAACAACCTTCGCCAAAACAGCTACGTTCTTCTAAGAAAGATGTAACGGCCCCTACACCGGAGAAGGCGGAAAAGTCCCCAATAAAAGCTCCCCCCAAAAAGAGGAGACCAGAAGAGTTTCAGGAGACGCAGGAAGTAGAACCGGTGCTTGCAACACCGAAGAAAGAGAAGAAGAAGGTCGAGAAGACGGAAAAGAACGACAAGAGAAGACGGAAGAAGTCTGAGAAGGAATAGTGTTTGATGTACGTGTTCTTCGGGCGCCGATCCTCATTGCGCACATAGTGCAATAGTGCTAAACTTTGGTTCATACCTCCACTGATTTGTGGGTAGTTTGATAATAGTGATTTTGTTCCGACTCAGTCAGTCTGTCCGTTGTTCTCGTGGCGAGCGGTCGTCTGGGGGAATATGTAAGCGTTGATTTAAATTTCAATTTTTAATGTTTCGAGTGGGAATTGGACATTGTGATGTTTGGTATTATGTTATTTTTTTAACATTTCTTTGTTATTGTTTTTTTAAGGTATTTTGTGTATCAGATTTTTTTTAGTGTATAGTTTTAAGTTGTACATTGGCTAAAAGAGCGTACCAAAGGTTATTTTTTGTGTTAGGTCTAGCGTTTGAGGTTCAATTCCCGGATGAGGAATTTTAATCGGTCGAATTTTCTGCATAGCAGTGTAAAGACCTTGTAGGCACAAAATTGGCTCTGTCCTTAAAATGTAAAAATAATCATTTGACGTAAAGTAAGTGCACTTACTAGCGTGCCTGCCTACCCTCCTGCAGGGGTTAAAAGGCGTGATGTTAAAAAAATATTGAATTGGCTGAAAAAAATGTAATTAAATAAAATTTTTATATATTAGCTCTGACCAGCATTCTTTTGACTACATAAAATGAAAGAATAATTATTATTTCAATCTAGTTTCATTCTAGACCTTGCAAAACATAATATGTAGTCAGTAAAATTTCATTTCATTTAAAATAAAATTAATTAATTTTATTTTGCTGGAGTAATTGGTTGACGAGATAACTTAACTGATTTTATGTCTAGGGGCTTACTCTTGAATCCAATCCCGATCGATCGACATTGATATTGTGTCGTACTCTTGAGTTGCAACATTAGCGCCCACTGCATCCGTATTGCGTGGATATTGAATGAACTAAATAGTATTGAGTTTGGTTTTATATTCCGTACTCTGAATGCTATTTCAACAACTACGATTGTGGTTGTATAGTGTTTGACATTGAATAATTATTGAGATTTTATTGAATTGAAATTAAAATGATTTTGATATTGGTTTCAAGAGTAAGTGCCATTATCAGGGGTCTATTATTGTTCTTAAATATATTGGGAAATCAGACAAAGCAAATATCACTAAAATCGGTCCAGCTATATTGGACTTATGAATATTAACACAATCTCTGGTCAGAGCATATTAAAATATGTATAATAATAATAAAAATATCGATTTAAAATAATCGATTCTTCAACGATGCATATTCTTCCAAAACGATACGAGTTTTGTATCAAATTATAAGTACGTAAGCATATCAATGCACGCTTAAAATTTCAATCAATAATCGACTATATTGCGTAATGAATATAGTTGATATTTCATTGAAGAGATTGGGTGTAGCTTGATATGCTTCAGTATGTGCAACCAGCAAAGTTATACAGTAAGCCGGTAAGAAAATAAAGGGTGATTTAGTACAGAGACAGTAACCTTTGGTTGTCTAGAGCCGACTGACGCCTGAAAACTAAAAGGCTATTGTAAGTCACGCTTAAGATGGCACGATACGTTTTTTTAAGGGGGAAATCATCGAGTGCCTTCTCCCGCCTGGGTGAGGCCGGAGGATGTGTCAGACTCTTACCGACTAAAAACCACCCCGTTCCTACTCCTGCCCTTCGAGCCGGAGCCCTGGTAACCCGTTAAGTTCTCCGCGGCTCCGTATCGGCATCAGCCCTATTGGGCCCCATTCGTATTGCACGATATTTAAGTGTGATTTGAAATGAGTGTTACGAAAGATGGTTCCGCTACAAAACATACAATTTAGTATAACGACAGCTACTGTCTCTGTACTAAATCAATCATTATTTTCTCACCTGCATACTGAATAATTTGGCTGTATATATAAACATCAAATTTCTTGACAGTCGGTTATTATATACTAAGAAAATCGTCCGCCTTATGTACCACTGTTATTGTATATAAATATAATTATAAGAAGACTAGATTTTTAAAACTTAATGGTGGCTAAATGTCGGGGACTGAAATGTCTATTTTTTAAGCGTGGCAACTTTACGCGGTGTTGCCAAAAAATTTTATTGTTAAAATGTCCTTTGGACATTGTCAGCGACTGTCTTGAAGTTTGGTGTTCAAACATCAGTTGGTTGTGTGTCTGCTGACCCTCTTAAGGGTTGGTCAGCTTTATGATCCTTCGCTGTTTAGGATTATCTTTCCAGTCGTTACTCCCACAGTTTCGTTTCGCCCACTGCACAGCGCAGATCGTAGCATGATGTTTTATAGCCTATAGCCTTCCTCGACAAATTTACTATCCAACACAAAAATTATGATTCAATTAGTTCCGGAGATAAGTGCGTACTAACAAACAAAGAAACTCGTCAACTTTATTATTTTAAGTGTATATTAAAGATTGTTTGTGTTGTGTAAATTTGTTTTTTGTGAAATTGTAGTTAGAAACATCTTTGGGAGTCTGGTCAAAAATGTTTAATCTAAAGTACTAATACACATTACAAGATAGTTTCGATAATAAAGGAAGAAATATATTTTTTTTTTCTATAATATAAATTGGCTATTCGTTACTTATGGTAACTTATCAGTGCACAAAAAACTCAAACATTTGTAAATATACAGTTAAAATAACTGTTTTTTAATAAAAAAGACCATGGGAAGATAATCTTGAGCAGTTGTACACCGCTCAAACGTGATGTACATATACAATGTATATATATTACATACTCTAATATAGAGAATTTACGTTTATTTTGGAGGACTTAGATAAGTTAGTGGACCAGTAGCTAGGTTAAGCAACACCACCAGGTGGATGGGTGACCATTTTAACATCAATTTCTGTGCGTCGGAGAGCACGTACAGATGTCGATAAATATCAACGATTGTCTATTTAGTGACGATCGTAGGGCAGTCAGAAGCCCTTATAGAACTAACTGACACTTAGGCCTTAGGATGTCGCCCAAATAATTGGGAAATACTGACATTCAGCCTAGATTTTAGGCGAAGTGCTAGTAGCTGACATGAAACCAGTCGAATAGCATAAAAAAGTCAATGTCGAAATTGACGTTGACGGGTGTCAAATCTGACGTTGACATGTGTCAAATTTGACGCATGTCAGTGGTTAAAATTGACGTTTTTTTATTTCCTATTTGACTAGTGTTTGTTTTAGTCTGATAGAATAGTAATACTTTTTAAAGTATGAGATAGGTCTGAATTTTAGTCTAGATTACAGGCCGTCCTAGATTTTGTGCTGTTTTTGACATCTTTTTAAAGCACTAGGTTTTAACTGTATTTTGGGTATTATAGCATTTCGTTGATTCTTAGTTTTTATATATTTTGCTTACACACGTTGGAGCCCCGGTAGTCTGGGGGCCCCATATAATTGGTACGGCAGATACGGCGCTAGCTCCGACCCTGCCTTAGACAAATAAATCATACAATAAAATAGCTCTGTAGCAACGTGAAAGCGAGGCTAACATACATACTTTCGGATTTATGATAAATTACCTTTTACCCGTCACACAGCACGCACAATCCCGTTTTTTACTGTAGGTTTTCCGGGATATCCTTGAATAAAAAGTATCCCATGTTCGTCTCCTGGTTCTACGCTACCTCCTCATCAATTTTTAGACATATATGTAGCCGTTATTGAGTTAAACATAACTAGCGACCCGCCCCGGCTTCGCACGGGTGCAATACGCACGTATTATACATATAAATCTTCCTTAAGAATCACTCTATCTATTAACAAAAATCGCATCAAAATCTGTTGCGTAGTTTTAAAGATCTAAGCATACATAGGGACAGACAGACGGCGGATAGCGACTTTGCTTTATACTATGTAGTGATGTAACTAACACTACTTTTGTAATATATAATGAGGATTGCCTTATTTTAAATCGATGTAAGTAAGAAATTGAAAAGAATCTAACAAATGCTATAATAAATAAAGTACAGTTACCTATATACGATACAATATAGAGAATTATTATACTATAATAAAAACAAAAATTTTACAGTAAAAAAACATATAAATTTATTATTATGTTTTCGACTTACTCATATAACTGTTTGACAGGGAATTGGACTAGTTTCAAGTCACGCTAGAGGCTCATATTGCACAGTGGCAGCGCGACAGTAGCCGCGTCGTATATCGGAATGCCAGTCATGAATATGAGTCTTTACCATGACTTTGAAACTATTTCCTCGTCAAACAGTGAGTAAGCCGAAAACAATAATATGTATCAAAAAAGTTTGAAGTTGTCTATTTAGCATGGAGTATTATAAAGCTTGAGTATTTTTTATTATCGTATTTTAATCTCTATATTGTATTTATACAGCGATTGAAAACTATCCGATATGTTAAGGTAAGATTATGTGTATTTTATTGTATACATATTCTAGTATGTCACTTGATAACCAACATTGATCTTTGTTGAAAAAGGACGAGCATTCATTATTTAAAAAAATATATTATTATTTTTATATTGAACGGTTTCAATGAGCTCTATTCTACCAATCAAGCCCTTTCGTGTGATATCCATAATGGAGGTAGTTGTGGAAATAATTAGATTATATTGTTTGGTCATCAAGATTAAGAGTGTGTACCAAATATCAGATCGATCTGTCGCCAGGAAGGGGGTGACATTACAGTTACTGCAGACCGAAACAAACACAAGGGGCAAGCTAAATGAAACCGTTTAATAATAAGAATGTTAAAACACTTATGCCGGAATACTGAAACGATACTCAATTTTAAGTCGTGCTCAAATATCGCGCCATCTCTGTCATTTCACAAAGAATTTGTAGAGATAGAACTATAGTTAAGCACGACTTAAAATTGAGTAGCGTTTCAGTATTCCGACATTACTTTACCTTCTCAAATCGGATAGTTGAATCACATCGCTATATATAAAATATCTTGTATATAACACAGCGGACAGACAAATATATAATTTAAAGCGAATTACCCACACATCAACACAGACTTTCAGTGTGATCAATAGATATAATATTTTGTGTGTTTACTACAGGAGTCGGCAGGTCGGTCGGTTTGTTCATGTTCTATTTTATAACTAGCTGATCCGGCGAACTTTGTACCGCCTAAATTATTTTACTTATCTTTTAAACCTTCCCTGGACTTCCTCGAACATTTCAAGACCAAAATTACCCAAATCGGTTCAGCCGTTTTCGAGTGTTAGCGAGACTAACGAAAGGATATTTTATTTTTATATACACAGGGTGGAATGTTGTAATGCCACCTTAAGGGCAAGTACTCTTAATACTTAAGATAGAAAATTTTACTCAAAGAAAACATTCTTTGATTATTTAAAAGAAAGAAATCTGCATTCAAATATTTTTAAAATTCGCTTGCCGCACACGGTAATCGTACCGACTAAAATTTGTAAAAGTTGTACATTTATTGCATCGATTGTTAGGGTCAATAAGAATGAAATCTCTCTAGCAAACTTCATAAATTTAATGAAAGGAAAACAATGAACGATCGATGCAATAAAACTACAGTGTGCAAACATTGACAGATTTTAGTCGGTTCGATTACCGTGTGAGGCAAGCTAATTTCTAAATATCTTTGAATGCAGTTTTGTTTCTTTTCATGATTTGGATCACACAAAGTGTTGTTCCGTGGGGGAATCGAACCCGCGACACGTTGCACGGCAATTTGATACTTTTGATACGTAAACAAATACAAAATGAATAATAGTCTGTCAGTCTGTTCGTCGGTGAAGCTAGGCGCTCGTTCCAAAATGTAGATTTAAATGGAGAAGAACGAGCAAGAAACTCTTTGTTTCTATAAAGAAAGAAATGCCATAACGAAACTAGATTGTCTACATTAGAATCAAAGTATT